ACATTAGAAGTTATTCATCAATAAAAATCAACATCGTTTATTATTTTATACCATCTATTATTTCACGAAGCAATAAAGCACAATAAATACTCGATTAAGTTCCGATAATAAATCCTAAATTTCGGCGTATGGTCGTAAAGTCGGCAACCATTGATGTTCTTTGAAAATAAGACCTACATATTTCTAGACAACCGAGAAATTAGCAGTCATTGGAAATCCAACTTAAGTTTAGTAATATTATGAGTATATACATATATAATCTATATATATAAAAATGAATTGCTGTTCGTTAGTTTCGCTAAAACTCGAGAACGGCTGAACCGATTTGACTAATTTTGGGCTTGAATTATTTGTGGAAGTCCAGAGAAGGTTTAAAACGTAGATAAATATGAAAATGCTTGGAATTAAACAAAAATAACAATTTTGTTTTTCCTTTGATGTGTCCCCCGTCCCGTTCTAAGTTTATTTTATTCAAAAGTTAGGTCTTTTATTTATCGATTAAGGCACTACGAAGGCTACCAGTTCAGATAGTATAATATACATAATTATGTTTTAATTTCAATGCGATACGATTTTTATTGAGCAACACTGAGATGTATTTTTGTGTTTAAATAGGAAGCACAATATAAGCATTGACCAATTTTTATTTATTTTTTATATCTATTTTTGTTGTTTTTTTTTATAATTTGGAGTTTGTTCGAAACCTCCAGCCTATTCCAGGCCCTCCAGGCCTATCTAGGCCTCTATGTCGAGACACGAGCCTATTCCAGAAAGTAGGAGATCTTTCTTCAGTGCTTTTGACAAGCGTATCGGTTACACGAACGTATGACACTAGCACTTCGCTTAATAGATCATCTGGCGGTAATTGTCTAAATATTTATTACGAAAACGCAACCCACAATTGAATTATAATATTATAAAATAAACATCTCAAATTTGTTTTCTTATTCCACAGATTAAAGATTATAGATTCACAAACTATATAACGCGATAATGGAAGCAATTTATTTTTACCTTAATCCATGTTACCAATGCAAGTAATATCGTTATTGTTAAAGACCAATACCTTCATAAACATAAACCAATATATCAATTTCAGATTTTCGTATTACTATTGCAAGAAATTGATATCAAAATCAGATTACGATTATTGTGCTTAAGGGATTTGTCTTTTTTCCTAAAATAAAAGACAGTTGTTATCAACGAAACCAAACCAAAGTGTTTTATTATCATTCCTAGTGATACTTGAGGTACATAAAGTTTCAAAATTGCCTGGCAAAAAAATACACAATTCCATTCATTAAGTCAATAAACTGAAATTTAATTCTGGATGCATTAGCTACGTAATTGTTTGGGGAATACACACTGCGAAGGATGATGTTAAACTCCAGAGAATCGCTTGAGGCACGATCGCAAACATTTACAGAGAGCCAAGTGATCTCGGCAAATAAAATCCGCGGAAAAATACTTTATCTACAGTTCAAACTATTTCTTATCAGATTTTATTGTAACAAACAAACAAACGTATTATTTTCGTCGTTGATTATTTCTGTAAGGAAAAATAAAAGTTTTAAAAGCGATATTCTTTCTATTACTATTAATTTCTTGAACCGAACGTAGAAGACACAAACAAATTGATAATGACACTGATAATGTAAAACAAATAAAAGTATCTACTTTTTTATGATAGAAGATGATAGAATATTCCACTTCAGCAGGACAGTAATCTATCTACTAATAGAAATACAGGTTGAAGGGATTCCTTGCGTACAAATAAAAAATTAAAACTATTTATAAGTTTTACGATTCGGACATAATAATTCACCAAAAGCTTAGAGCTGGTTCACGCCGTGTCGAAACAATACAAATTGGAGCCATTTACCAAAAGCTTAGACAACATTGATCACTAAGGATTGTGTTCCTTCAAAGATAATATAATATTAAATGAGTATAGCTTACTGCAGACTTTGGTTTACTTAAGGTTCAAATGGGGCGTAAAACACAAGGAAATTGTATAACAGTTAAAATACATGATCTACTATTTGCTGGTCACTTATCAATCACCGGATCAACACAAATGCATTACAATGTAGCAATATATTAACTCAGTATGTACGAATACAGTAAAGTGATTATTAATATTTTCTAATTATCTAAAATACAACAGGTAATAATAAAATCTTCACTGGTGGTAGGAGCACCTCTTATGAGTCCGCACGGGTAGGTACCACCAACCACCCTGTCTATTTCTACCGTGAAGCAGTAATACTGAGACCTTAGAACTCATATCTCAAGGTTGGTGGCGGCATTTAATTTGTAGATGTCTATGGGCTCCGGTAACCACTTAATACCAGGCGGGCTGTGAAGCCATCAATGCAATAAAAAATAAATAAATAAAAGATAAAGAAACACCCAGATATATACAGATTACCCACAATCCGTTTGTGGCTCGATGCATACCTATACAACGGTGAAGACGGCTAGGCCATGTCGATCAAATCAATATATTTTAGATATTGCTGACTGCTTTTGGTGGATGATGTTTTAAATTTCGAAACACCCATTTAACGAGCATTGATTTTTTTATAATTGGAAACAGCTGCAAAGACAACATACAACATTTTTTTGCTAATTCTGCATGGACACGGATTTAATGGGCCGTTGTGAAATCAATGACTCCAAATTACAAGGTCTGAAAACGTTAGTTGCCGACAAACGTAATAAAAGGTGTCTGTCGGCCGGTCAGAGGATTTTACGTGATAATAGTCTCTGGTCTGAATATATGACCCTGACCACTTCGAGATGTTCTTATTAGCTGTCCATAACAGGTCACGAATAAGGTGTGGTTAGGTCATATCAAGAACATACCGGCGATCTAGAATAGCACCACTCCATCTCCTTTTTTTATTTTATCTTTTTATTGCATAGATGTGTGGACGAGCTCACAGCTCACCTAGTGTTAAGTGGTTACCGGAGCCCATAGACATCTACAACGTAAATTCCGCCACCCACCTTGGGATATGAGTTCTAAGGGCTCGGTATAGTTACAACGGCTGCCCCACCCTTCAAACCGAAACGCGATACTGCTTCACGGCAGAAATAGGTAGGGTGGTGGTACCTACCCGCGCGGACTCACAAGAGGTCCTATCACTCCTACTATGGGTTTCATAAAAGGCGAATATTGGTTTCACCGAAGAATGAGTAACACTGTTCTCGAAATTGTATATTAGTTTACTGAAATCGCCAGCTCGCGTAAAATGGCGGTAGGGTGTTTTATGAATTCGTATGAGCAAGGGATCTCCATCCTACAATCTTATGTTGAGCAATTATGCACATATTAATAACAGAAATAGAGATTCGCAGAGTTGGTGGGATTTGCTAGATTTGCATCACATAAAGACATCTATGGGCTCAGATGGTTATCTGAGCCTATAGATGCCTTTATGTGATAAGTGGTTCACTTTACAGTGTGGGGACAGTGAGCAATGTGTGAGCTATGCTAATAAAAACAAGTAGGTTTTGAGTAGAGCCGATTTTGGTTAAATAAAACATATTCTAATACGTCCGTTAAGGAGTAAGTGCATTCTCTATTCCGTACTAGAGTTTGAGCAAAAAAACAAAAGAATTAAGGCACGTCCTAGTTGAACTGAGTAAAACCATCGCCTACGAATCTTGGATAACTAACAACGCCGGACACTCGCATCCAAAAGATATCCTGTTGGATCAAAACCAACGTGCAGTTTTCTGTCACCGACGTATCGTTAGCAAGATGAGTTTAGCCCACTGAATTTCTCGCCGGATCTTCTCAGTGAGTCGCATTTCCGATCCGGTGGTAGATTCTGCGAAGCACTGCTCTTGCTAGGGCAAGTGTTAGCAACACTCCTGGTTTGAGCCCCGTGAGCTCACCTACTAGCTCGGTGAATCTATAATAACCCCTCGAGGTTACTAGAATAGGAAAAGAAAAAGATGACTGCTGTGGACATCTTATTTTTTCACCTTTATTTCCTCTCTTCGTTATGGTACTTTGTTATCAGCCCACACGGCACTACTAGCCTTGTACTTGCTGCGAAGCAATGCAATCCAATTTGAGGGGTTAGAAAGCAGGAATTCTAATGCAGTCGACATGACGATAGTTTTTAAGAGTAGTAGTAGTAAGTAAGTAGTATTATTGACGTTGCGCTTAGTTTCCCGTAGCCACTCAACACCTACAGGTCCGTGGGCTCGTTTTACTCAACAACAACAGTAATAGAAATTTCGAATACAAATTTTATTTTATCAAACAGAATAAAGAGTTACAATTAGGAGATTTAACATAGCTAGTTCCGTATTACAATTTATCAAAGCATAACAGAATTGATTATATTATCCAATTTATAATTTAATTTAATTAGTCTATCTGATCAACGTACAGGATTCATTATCATCGTTTTATCTTTCTGCCGCTCGAGATAAATTATTTCGTTGGTGGTCACATAATTTCAATCGTATTGAAATGTCGTATTAATTATTGTATTATTAATTATAGCTGAACGTCATCTTGTAAGGTTGTAATAAAAATAACAATTATTTTAATTAATTGAACCGCCACCTACGGTCGTCCGCACCGCAGTCAGCCTACTAATGACCAATAACCATAATTCGTTGTCATTGTCGTAATGTAATATGATTATATTAAATAGTTAATTAGTGGATGAGGCAATTTTAATTGGATATGAGTTCTATAATCATTTCGTTTTTGAGTCACGATTTTAATTTTAAATTCTCTTGGATGTTTCGTAACTTAAAAATTGTCATAGAACGAATCGTTTTGGATCGTGATTTAAGGTAAACGTAATTTGAATTGTATTTTAATTAATTTCAAAAAAAATCTAGTCACAAAAAGAGAACCTTTTCGTAAATTATTATATTGTTACATTAATTTAATATTATATGCATAAAATTAATTTAATTAAATTACTTAATCTAAATAATTAATTAATATGATATATGAAATTGTGAGATTACAGTTTTTTTTTTTGTTTTCATAGTAAACATTTTTTGTAAGGTCTGGGTTGTTTCGGACAGCGATTCTTTGGAACATTTTCATACAAATTACATATCAGATATGAATGCATTATTTTATTAGTGTATAAAATTACCAGATCACTATTGGTTTAAAACTAACAAAAAATGTACAAACTGATAAACACGGAGCACATTTGTAGAAGTATAAGTATTTTTATAAAGAATTTACGTAAACTCTTCAGGCACTGGAGTATATTTCAAGCCGGTGTCATTGAGCATGGTGACTACCCACGAATCCTCAGGCAACTGTCCAGACTTCAGCAACTTGACGGCCGCTGCTACGTTAGCAGCACTTGTATAGCCCACGTATAAACCTTCTTTCTCGCCAATCAGCTTTTTATACTCCATCGCTTCCTCATCAGATACGCTCAGGGTGCCATCCATGTACTCACGTTTGAATAAATTCGGAACGCAACCGTAACCTGACCCTTGTAGGAGATGAAGGGGCTTTATGACTGGCAGTCCTCTTATTGGTTGAGCACCTTCAGGTTCAACAACGTACGCCTTCAAATCTGGATTCTTTTCCTTTAAATACCTTGTAGTTCCAGTAAAAGTGCCCGCGGTACCGACAGTAGCAACAAATGCGTCAACACGATGTCCAGTCTGTCTCCATATCTCAGGTCCTGTGGTTTGGTAGTGAGACTCGGAGTTGGCGTCGTTGTTGAACTGATTCACATAATATGCGCCGGTTTCCTTTACAATTCTTAGGCCTACTTCCTCCACTGCTTTTACATCGTTCAAAGTCACGTTTCCGTACGTGCCTTCCACTTGCGGAACTCTTACGCATTTGGCCCCGAGAGCCTCCATATGTATGGCCCTTTGAGCACTGTTTCCTTTTGACATGGCAAGCGTTAGCGGATGACCCAATACAGCACACACGACGGCGAGTCCACATCCTTGATTTCCCGATGTCACTTCCACAACTGGCTCTTTAGGTTTCAGTTCACCAGAGGCCAACGCTTTCTTGATCATGCAAAGTGATGACCGGCACTTAATAGATGCTCCTGGATTCATGAACTCACATTTCGCCAAGATCCTTCCGGGGCCAGGGTGAAGGCGATCGAGCGCTACTATAGGCGTATTGCCGATGAGATCCAAGGCTGAAGCCTTGATTTCGTTGTCAACGCTATTATTGTTTGCCATCGCACAACTTAGGCTAAATAATTAAACTGATAAACACTTGTTGACAACAGTAATACCGGTTGCGTACTGTGATGTGCTATTGTTATTCCGAACTTTTAAATGCTGCTCGACAGTGATTAAGAGTGGCGCTGAAATATCGTTCAGCCTAACGTCCTACTAGACCGAGCACCACAAATAACAGAGCACGCGTTATTTGCGTATAGTGCTCTGTAGATATATGTACGATAAATTGATAATACAGAGTGCTCTTTAAACATTGAGGCTAATTTACCTAAAAAAAAAAACTTACAATCAAATCGAAAAAGTTTATCATTTTGGCTTCCTCCTTTGCATTTAACTAAGCACAACTAATTATCGCAGTATTTTCAAAGGTGTGATAATCCATTTCTCTACGATTTCCAACATGAAAGTTATGGATTATGTTAGATGCCAACAAAAAAAAACCAAAAAAATGGAATTTTCATTGAAATACAATTAAAATTTGTTAATAAATAAAACTAAAATAAGTATTGCTGAACTGAGGAGTAAGTTCATAGATTTGATTTCAAATGAATTTTCAAATAGTCATCATTGTTATTTTATTTATCAGAATCCAATACGTAGATCAATCTAAAGTATTTTACTAGACAATTATAAAAATGTCATTTTGAAGGTACCTAACCATTTTGATGATACTTCACTTGAACAAAATCAAGTCTTCGACTTGGCTCCAGTTGCCACTTAACATCTACCGACATTAAGGTGTCGTGATCGCACCCATAAATCAACAAAAATAATGTTTCGGCGTCTGAAGATATATATGTTTTTAATCATTATCAAATTCTCGAAAACCTTATTAAAAATCAAATTGAACAACAAGTGGGACTGAAAAAAAAACTTATTTTTTTTAAACTTATGAGACACCCTATATACAGATGAACGTAAACTTAAACAATAAGCACATGTATCGCCTTTCAAGTAACTCATAATGAATTTCGACCTAAGATAAAGATAAATAAGCTATTGTTTTCACCTGAATATTGCGAGTAAAACGTGGATTGATACTGTGGCAAGTACCTACTTTTTAAAAGTAAGTGATTCACTTCTTAGATAATTACTTTATGGTTTTTAATGCATAATGTTAAATGGTTAGCAGAAGTTATTTACATCACAACGTAAACACCGCCACTGACCACCAACATGAGATTTAAGTCTAAACTAGCTTTTACAATATGACGGCTGATTGTACACTTCAAACTCGACGCATTACCGCTTTGGGACAGAAATATGCAGGCTAGTGGTACTAATCAAACGAGCAAAGGATACGTCATATCACCATACTACCTGTGAGGACAGCCAATTCAGCTTTAATAGCCGTAAATGCACTTCACACTTTAGTAAAAATCACGAGTTATACAAAAGAGACTTTATGGGAGCTAAACAAGACAAAATGGTGCTACACTCTGTTTTAATAAACCGAATAATCATGTCAACAAATTACATTATGTTTGCGCCAACTGGCAAAACACACAAAAAGTGCAAATAAAGGTCCACCCCTCGACATTCGGCCGATTATGACACAAGTGGCAATTCCTGAGCGTTTGACAACTGCAATTTTGAGACGCACTATAATTTTGATAAAATAGTCTTTTTCTGTTTCATTTTAATGTTCAATTTCATTTGACGCGAGCCATTCAAATGTGAATTTGATCGTACGTTCTAAAATAGACCCTACGTCATTGGGTTAGGATTACATAGCGGTAGAATGATCACGGAGTTAAGCTGAAGCTACAGATGTCAATGCGAATCTGGTCCATTGTTAACAAATATGGGTACAATTGTGCACAACGCGTTGCATTATTATATTATTTGAGGAAGGCAAGTGGACCGATGAAGCCAAATGTCGTCTATTTGTTAATTGATGTATGCATTCAAAATTCGAAACTAATGCTTTGAACAAATCGTTATATGGATTTCAAATTTGTCCTTCATCAGACAGATATAGAAGTCACTTGTGAATTTACCTTTTCATCGTAAGGACGAGTATTATTTTTTGTCGAAAATCAATGTATCCCTTGAAAGGTTTAATGAATAATAATTGAAAAGATTCCTAATAATATAAACCTTATACTAATCTACTCTGATCACTAAATCAACACACTTACGGCGTGTTGTAATGATTTATACGACCTTTGCCAGATTAATGCATTGAGTACCTATCTTTTAGATTTTTTAACAGATGAAATATAACAATCGACACGCATCAGGACATCTGTTGGACTGGTTTACTAGTTAATTCGATAGCTCTAAACATCATTCGTTTATTGTTCCAGTAAACGTGCTGAAAATGTCTTATTCCCACGAAGGTGCAGGTGTGCCGCATACAATGCTGCGGCTTGCTCGCATTCCAAACACCTAGCTTCAACGATTACGATCCTTATTCTCGAATCTTCGAAACATATGAACCCAAACACTGTTTCTGTAATATTTACTATTTATTTAAACAGATGCGCAATAAGGTATGTTTACCTGTAACCTCAATAAAGTGAAAAAAGTTGAAGTAAGTAGTATCGATATTATGGATTTCACAAACAAAGAAGTGTCTTCTTTTAATATATTATAGTTCGATACATATTACCGAAAATTAAACATTGCACCAACATTTCACTTGAAACTGGCATAAAGTTAAAACTATTGCCATAAAGAAAAAGAAAAAAAAACATTGCACCTCTCATAACGTAATTCAACCGTAGAAAAAACATGTTTAGCGTTTATAAAATGAAATCAATTCTATCGTTAGTTTTCAATACCAATTTTGCGAAGTGTGATGTTTGAATTTATTCTTTTGATCTTTGAAGGAGTTTACATTATTTTGCTACTTTGATTTTGAAAAACATACCACTCAAAGTTTAAGACTTTTTTTCGGAAAAGTCGAAATTTTCTTCTTAACACATGCATAATAATATCATAAAATATAAATAATACTAATTCTGAGATTACTTTGAAAAAAAAAGTATGTATTTAACAATAAACATAGAAGTTTATAATCTTAAGCCAATCTAATTATAATAAAAAAAATATTCTTATTTATATTATATGTATCATAATATAATTATAATATTACTTATTGTAATAATAATAATGCTATTTTACTAAAAATTATTCAAAAAGCTGAGCCAATATTAGATCATAGTTAAAAAATGTTTGTCTAAAAATTTTCTGTCAATTGAAACGACCAAAACCGAACAATAGATCAATTAATTGCATTCATGCCAATAAAATACTAAATTACATTGATACAATATTTACTAGCACGTATCGATTACATGCATTAGATATTAATACCAAATTAGATTTTTCGTCTCATATTAGTAAATAATGTCGAACAATGCTTATCGAAAGCACAAGAATAAAACCACCAAATGAAATCGTGACTTGCATTACACAGTTAGTGATAGTCCCATTAAGAAATATCAATCCACGACAACACAAAACAAAAACTATTTATGTTCTGGATAGCTCAAGATCCGTCTTACCGATACAAATAAATACTTACAATATTGCTCGCTATGTTTTACGTAGGTATTTAAAAATATATTCAATCTATTTTTTTAAATCTTTGTGACATACTACTAGTAATATGATGAACTTATATCTAATATTGAGCATATGCCTGTTCATTTTGTAGGTAACGATTTTCCCCTATTAATAGCTACCCAATGCATGTTCACGATTGTCCTTGAATTTCATAATTCATTGAAAACACTTAAAACTTCCGGTAATAGTAGTTCTATTTTTCCACAGGGAAAGGCAAAGGTATCAAACCATACAGCTTAATCTTTTATTTTATTCTTATGAGAAATTATAATTTGAAGAGAAATGAAATGAAGTTAATTAATTTTGAACATTAATCAATTGGCATGAAATTAAATGAAATGAAATGAGATGATATGATAATTGGTGAAATATAATCTCAGTAAAATGGTAGTTATTTACTGAGACTTTTTCAGTGGTCTTCTTGGAAGATCCCGAGAAGCTACGTCCAGTGGCTTTGTGTCATTTTCCCGCATTTGTGCACTTTCACAGATAATAAACAGTTAATAAACCACCGTATTATGCAATAACAAGAACAGCTAGACCTTTTTTTCGCAGATAAAACGCAAAACAACAACTACACTTTTACAAATCTAACTCCGTGTATCATCCGATACTACTGAGATATTTACAGCTAAACGTGCAATGACATTTCTCATTATAATTTTCACCATTTCATTTTAATTCGGTTAAGGCAGGGCAAATTGCTCGTAGAACAGTGTGCTTAGTGCGAGTTTTTTGACGTTGTCGATAGCGTAAAAGTTAGCTCATATTTGTATGGAATGGGATCGTTCGCCTACGTTTGCCACTAGGGGCGCTGTTCCAACTGCTTACAAAATTGGGTTAACTTTTACGATATCGAAAACGTTAAGAAATTCACACTAAGCACTCAGATGGCCGCTGTAATGCAATGCTGTCATAAATTTCTAGATATTTTTCTATTAATTTGAATCTGTTTTGCGGCAATAATATCGTATCTGTTCTTGTGTGAAACTCAATAAACTACCTTAAGTTTTTCAGCTAATGTGATATTTTATAAACATTAATTACAATTAATTCTGTTTTTTAATTATCACACAATATTTGTTTATTTAATTTGCTTCGTTACATTATTAATTTTTAAGACAGCTATTATTATTAAAAACGCCATAAATATCTAAGATTTAATTTAAGGTAGAAAAAAAAATATNTTCTTGTGTGAAACTCAATAAACTACCTTAAGTTTTTCAGCTAATGTGATATTTTATAAACATTAATTACAATTAATTCTGTTTTTTAATTATCACACAATATTTGTTTATTTAATTTGCTTCGTTACATTATTAATTTTTAAGACAGCTATTATTATTAAAAACGCCATAAATATCTAAGATTTAATTTAAGGTAGAAAAAAAAATATATTAAAAGACAAGGACAACTAACAATGTATCCTTAGAAAAAAAGGTAACGGCAAATATCGGCTGTGGGAATCTAATCACGGATCATGAGCGTCACCGTAAAAGGACCCATGAAGCCTTCATATACAGGGTGATGTATAAAAAATATTCGAGCTAAAATATATAAAAATAACGTTTGAAATTCCAATATCTATTTTAAGCATCGGTCTGTCTGTGTATCTGTCTACAAAAAATTGTATTCTATTCAAATTGGCTTTTAAATATAGCGAATAGAATCTTAATAATGTGCCGATATCGTCCTGATTATTTATCTAAAAAGCTACATATTTAATTACAGACTCAGCGCCCATTTAATGTGTTGAGATTACTGGAGAGCAGAGACAACAACATGAATTGATTGAATGAATCAAGTCCTTGGCTATTGAAAATTCGCTTGCTTTACTACCTTCCGAATTGGAGCGTATGGTAGCTTCGTGGCAGAAACTTTTAAATACGTCATCACATTTGCGTGATGTGGGAATTGAACCCACGCCACTCCGCCCAGAAATGAGGAGCGCTAATTAATGACAATACATTAAGTGCGCGTCTGCCTGAAATGTACCTTCTTAACCCCATCTAACTGAATATTTACTAACAAAAATTGGCATAGTCAACATTTGTGTCAACAACAACTTATCAAATATCATAACAAAAATAACAAATCATGGTATAATTTGAACAGCCTGTGAAAAATCTGTGGGCAGGTACGGATGCACCTGAGTATTTCACACCGCGCCTCGCTGGCGCCGACGGCCAGTCTACTCTAGTCTGTGACCACAGAGATAGCAACTTGTAAAGCTGGCTTTTTAGTTTATAGTTTTACGGTATGTATTTGTGAAGTCGGAACTGCTAACCATGGATTTACTACGTATTTTATGTTGTTTTCTAACTAAACTGAATAGTTAAAGAATTTACCTATTCAGGTAGGTAGGCACGTTAAACTTGTCTACCTATCGCAGATTATAGGGACAAACACCACATACTTCATGCTTAGTTAAAACGAGTTTGGTAACAATTCTTTTGCTTTATTTTAATAGGGAAATAATGTTGTTAAAGGATTAATTCATGAAACTACATTTTAAGATTTTTTCGATACAACGAAGTTCAAAGATAAGTTTGTGTAAATTTTAAATCTTGGTCTTTTCCATTGAACATATTTTATTTTGGAAACACCATATTTTTTTGGTATCTCCGGATTAGTATAAAAACATTTCATGAATTATTCGAATTGTTTTATTCTCCTAGTAATTACTGTCGTATCTATTTATTTATTGTACATTAAACAACCACCTACGCTCTTCTAATATCAGGGCTCGTAATGGTATTAGTGCGTTTCGTATTTGACCTCCAATATTCTTCATAGGTTGTGTCATTCATCGCGGTGCGGCATCGTTACATTCCAAATGTTTATTTTTATTTAATAGCATGTGTGGACAAACAACTCAACAGTATTACGGATAGGTGATAAATTAATAAGCATAAATACTTAATTTATAGATGAAATAAAGAAGTAAAAGAATGTGGCTAGGTGAGGGGACATGTCGTATTACTAACGGTAAACTAAGATGAACATTAAAAAATATATTAAAACCATAGCTTGTGAAACACCGTAGCGGGTAGGTCCCTGGTTGCCAGTATATATCGTGGGAACCCCCCTACACTCTCTGCTCGGATTCTGATTCCGTTGAGGTCCCTCGTTGCCAATAACTGCTTTAGCAGGCGAGGGCTTAGGGCCTTTTAGTTCTAGTCTTACGAAGTCGTCAACCGATAACTGATTTATATACTTATTGTTAAATTAATGAGATAACATTGAAAAAAATTTTTTTCACTAAATTTTCCTATTGCTTTACTCTCACTTTGCTCACTAAATTTTCCTTTTGCTTTATGTTATGAAGCTAAAAATCCCACTGTTGATATACATGGACCCATTAAACTAAAGAGCCCAGAGGCTCCGATAGGCTTAAAAAGACCCAGATATTCTTAATAAATACAAGTACGAACGATCTACACGAAACGATTTTATATTACTTATTACATTTTCTCTAGACTTCTACGCTTTTCATTTGGGAAACACAGAAAGAAGTTCAGAAAAGTTATGTCCAGGTTTTTTTATCTTTTAAATTATTTTATTAAAACATAAGACTCAATTTTTTTTTTTTATTAATCCCTTTACATCATTTACAACCAAATTTTTTTTCATACATTTCTAAGAATAATTTCATTCTTTCTGGATATAGTTCATACTTCATCGATAAATCCTTATCAATCACCAAACAAGCCGCTCCCGTTTCTGCTATTGGTTCCCAATTCGTTGTTATCAGATTATCTGTTTTCGGCGTGGGATTTCTGAAATATATCAAAACTTTATTTACTAAACAATAATAAAATAAAAAGAAAATACGAGTAGAATAGTAGTAGTAAACGAGTAGAAATATAGATATAAGGAACTGTTGCTTAATTTTACAAATATTTTATGATCAAAAAAAAATCACCCGTATCTGGCAAAATTCGTCCATAGTGTCAATAAAACTTCTTGTACTCGTTTGTCGGTGTCAGATAACGCATCTTTTAAAGCTTCACATCTTAGTATGTACCCGCCTTCGTCGGCATGTGCTGCGCCTACCCTATCGATTTGATTGAGTTTCTTTAAATAATTAAGTGCGCCATCATAGCAAAATTCGTATAAATATACCGGAGAATTGTGTTTAGCTATTAAAGTCGCCGCTGTATAGATTCCACCCAAAAAGTCTACATCGGTGAAATAATTTATAGCAAAACCATCGACATCTTTGCTTGTTTGTTCTCCTTCTAAATATATAGACTTTAATCTAGATTCTAACTTAGTTTCTTCAACTGGATCCAATACGAACGGAAAGTAATCGATGAATTTCTTTTCTTTGGCCAGTTTATCTAAAACTTGAGGGCCTAATAGAACCATCAGTAAGCCTTCCCTTTCACTGAGACCCGTCATAAAAGGAACTTTCGCGAACTCGCCTTTAGCGAGCAATTGATACGATGATTCTCCTAAGAACGGCTCCCAGTCACCTGACTCTTCAACAGTTGGTACAAAACCAAAATGAATACCTCCCCGAAACTCATCTGTCTGGATCGCCTTAAAGGATAATTTAATTAACTCATTTGTTGGCAAATCCTTGAAATATTTCAGCAGCTCTTCGCTGTCAGTGATTACTTTACCCTTTACCGTAGGAATTCTAGCTGCTAGTGTTTTGATTTTGTCTTTATCATTTTGAGCCCAATGTACGAGGGATGAGCCAGATTGTGCTATTGCTTTATGAAACAGTCCTCTCGACAGCGGAGACAACAAATGGTACTCAACTGAGGAACCACCCGCACTAATTCCAAAAATTGTAACATTATTTGGGTCTCCGCCAAATTTCGAAATATTCCGTTGAACCCATTTCAGTGCCATAACTTGGTCTCNTTTGTCTTTATCATTTTGAGCCCAATGTACGAGGGATGAGCCAGATTGTGCTATTGCTTTATGAAACAGTCCTCTCGACAGCGGAGACAACAAATGGTACTCAACTGAGGAACCACCCGCACTAATTCCAAAAATTGTAACATTATTTGGGTCTCCGCCAAATTTCGAAATATTCCGTTGAACCCATTTCAGTGCCATAACTTGGTCTCTGAGGCCCATGTTTCCAGGGGCATCTTTACAACCGAGAGCCAAGAAGCCAAGTATTCCGATTCGAAAGTTAAAAGATACTATTACCACATCTTTTTCGATTAAGAAATCTGGACCGTGTTTGGCAGTGTCGGTGCCGTTCCCAAAAATGAAACCACCTCCATGAATGAAGAACATAACGGGTAAGAGTTCAGAGCTGGAAGTGGGAAGCTTGGGCGTGTAAACATTGAGGTACAAGCAATCCTCGTCTCCAACTACGTTTCCTGTTAATTTGTCGACCTGAGCGCAAATGTTGCAATCTTTGGTCGCATCTCTGACCCCTTTCCACGATTCTGGTGGTTGTGGTATCTGTTTAAAACAAAAATTATGAATACTTTTTTTATTTTGAGCATGTCAACGAATAAAAACTCTATTAGCTAATCTAAATTCGAAGCTAAAATGTGCGGAACTAACTTACGGTTTTGTGTCTAAGCTTTTTCAGTTTTTGTTTGTAATAATTTATCTACCATCAGCATCATAACTATACTGATACCTTAGAACTTATATCTCAAGGTGGGTGGCGCATTTACGTCGTAGATATCTATGGGCTCCAATAACCACTTAACACCAGGTGGGCTGTGAGCTCGTCCACCCATCTAAGCAATAAAAAAAAAAACTACCAACGTAGATACTCTGGGATTTAAAGCGTATTTGTTACTTTAGGGACATTAGTCAATTAGTATCTTGTAGTTTTTAGTAAGTTGTATCGTTTAGTTTTTAACTATTTTTAACACGTCATATGATGTAAAATTTTAAAGTCTACATTTGGAGATTAGACGTATATTTAAGGAGCGGAAGCAGTTTTAATTAGTTCGGTTGATCACTAATCTATCAATTTTCGATATTAATTGTCTCAATGACTTGCATGGACAATTGTTCACACGTAGATAACTTATTCAATTCGGAGTAAGTAAATACATGATTGATGTAAACATCTAACACAGAAATTCTCGGTAGGTATATAGCTACTTTAATTAGCTTAGCGTCGGAAACTTCATACTCGAAGGCAACCAATGTCAGATCAAATTAATTGTCATCTATATTATTATATACAATACTATATTTCCGCTCTCGTGCGGGCTACACTTTCTCTTATGATACGGCCAAGGCTTTGATTATATACACTATTATATAATCAAAGGGCCAAGGTTAGCAACGCAAGTGTATTGAAGCAGTTTTTTTCACTTAGCACAGTCATAGTTCAACCATTTTGTCTAAAATATTAACAAATTATATAGGCCAAGGTATGCCTATCCAAGGTATCCAAGGTACCTTCCTCGTTTATCGCTTCTATTAGTGAAAATCTCGGTCAAAATCGGTTACATGGTCTGGTCCTACGAATAAACAAGGTCTGGTCAAAGTGAGCGGAAAAACAGATATAGACAGACTGTGTCTTTGTTTTATACTACTTGTAGAATAATTTAGGTAAGTTCATAAAGTTAAGCTTCGAATTAATCACACTGCAACATATCATTATTGTAATTTTAATAATCGTATACTAGTTTTTGATAAATATTTTATCGTAGATAACACATATGCGTTGAAATGAAAAAAACTATATATATTTTTAAGTCGCTTATTGAAATACGCACGTGGTATCCAAAATAAAATTTAACTTACAGCAAACCTTAATTCGCCGACCGGCGGTTTCGCATAAGGAATTCCTTTGAAACTATAATATTGGACGTCCTTAACAGTTGTTGCCACATTTCCTTTCAATTTACCTTCATTAACGTGTACAATTGGTTCAGACATTATAAATATTTACAATATCGTTTACTAACACAACCACAACACTTTGTCTAATAAACAGACTGATTTATTTATTATTATTAAGTATTTTGCTATGAAGAAATGAATCTTGTGTTAAGTCACATTCACATAACCTATATAAAATGGTCGATTTACTTTTCCCTTGGGTTCAAACTTGTTTATTAAATAATTTGTTGAAATAGTTCACTACACTACTCCTAGATGGCGCTTAAATATAAACTTTGTGACTGAAGGCTATTTTCTAACATTATATCAGCTATACTAATATTATAAAGAGGAAAGATTTGTTTGTTTGTTTCGAATAGGCTCCGAAACTACTGGACCGATTTGAAAAATTATTTTTCCATTAGAAGCCGACATTGTCCCTGATGAACATAGGCTACTTTTGTTTATTTATTTTTTATTTTTTTTTTTTGGTTTCATGTGTGTTTTAATGTTTCCGAAGCGAAGCGAGGGCGGGTCGCTAGTTTATTATAATTTTATAATAGTTTGGAAAGCGACTTAACCTAATATGTATGGTTGTATGTATGTATGGCTCTAATAAAGAATATAAAAATATAAACAATAAAAATAAAATAATAGTTTGGAAATATAAAGTTACTTTGCTGTGTCCACGGTTTGAAATTAAACATTCTGTTTTTGTTTTTTACAAATTATATTTTTTGATGAAAATTATCTTTACTAACGTCTGCTTTATCTATAATAGGTAGGTAATAATTAGATTTCTTTGTTAACGCTGCCATCATATTTCAGCCATATCCAATAAATTTAAAATCACTGCAAATGACCGACCATAATTCAGTCAGTCCGACCGACCGACCAAAAAAATTAGTATTCTGCAGTCCTTCTCTATATTTTCTATAAGTGAGGGAAATTTCATACTCCTCCGTCCGCGCAATTTTCGTAAAAAGGGGTATAATAACCGGCAAACTTCTTGAGCATTTGTTGACGTAGTGGGGGTAAGTTTGCGCATGGTACACTCACGTGCAAAAACATTACTTACTCTGCGTCATAATGCTATTAAATTATTAAAATCAACATATGTATTTATTTATATATTTATAAGAACATCAACAAAACATATAGGTTAATAATTGTAATAATTTAATCTTGGGGTAAAATAGATATTCCTTCTATTAAGTCAAAACTAGAGCTGTTGCCAGGTCTTGGTTCAGTTGAAGCGAAGCTGGTATTTGTAATTTTTTTTTCGTTATCATAATCTTGACCATCATCATCATCACTGTTTTCATCACCCGAGTCGCTATCATCGTGATGAGTCGACATAGGGCTCATCGGCGTAGTTTACAACTCGGTCGATTCGGTCTTCTTTTTTGTCTATAATTAATTATTTTTTGAAGATATTCGATTCGTAGTAATCGAATGTTACTTTTTTCATTTACCAGCTTCCGATTATTTTCTGTTCTTTTTTTCCATCTGAAGCCTAGCTCTTTCATAATTCGTCGTAAGCTTCATTCCGAGCCATTAAAATTTATATCTTCTTTAAATTTTTCGAAGCCTTTCTACGGTACGGAGTTTCGCTGCTTGTTATGTAGTTATTATGATTACATCTTTTTATTACAGATTGAACGAAACTATCCATTCCGGTAACTTTCTTCTTCCCTGATCTTTTCTTACCCGGAGTCCGAAACACGGCGAGCAAGCCAGAGCCTTTAGCTTCGTTAATAATGCACCTAACAGTACTCACTGATGTTTTTGTTGCTTCCGAAGTCTGTTTTAATTTTTCCATATCATTCTTCCCCTGTTTTATAATGAAGCAATATACGTCGTACACAAATTTTCTACCCTTTCTTTTAAGTACTACACCAGTTTGTCACGGCATAGTGTATGTTTTATAAAAAATCAACAAACACTCAACAAATAGCAATGGCAACAAAGTCCACAAGCAATTATAACAAATAACTTAACGATTAATAACGATAGACTTTCCACTGTACGCAAGCGTACTTTTGGGAGCAAGCGGAATGAAGGCGCGGTGCGGGACGCAAGGTTCGACTGATCTACCAATAACGCGCTCGATACGATTTCCCCTGCCGTCGCGCCTCACCCTCACCACCAAAGTGATCTAAAATTCGGTTCTGCGCAGTCAAGGTCATTTGCTCAAGAAGTTTGCCGATTACTATACAAAGTTTTTACTTCATTTATTAATAGATAAACATTTCCAATGACCTACGCTACGAAGCTACGAATCACTTCAATTATCACACGAGACATTTACAAACAATAGTAATCAAGAAAAACTAAGTAGCCTCAGTAGATTCCTAGTAAACTAAACTCGTTGTTTTATTTGTTCTATGTACAATGACTTAACATTATTACATAAAGCGACCGCACAGCCTCCGTCCGGAGAACACCTGTGTTGAACGAGTCAGAGCTTTATCGTCTCGTCCTATGTTTATTGTTAACTCAGGGACGGCGACTCAGACTCAACCAAACGATGTAGGTAGACTCCGAGACTAACGACCTCTAAAATCGACAGTGCTGCCACAAACATCACAGTATTATATTTATTTAGTAATCTGTGGTATTACGTTTTAAAAATTAAAAACTGTTATAACCTTCCCGCTCAATTAAGTGTATTATCTATGTTCCCGCTTTAATTCCCGTCAAAACTTCCAATTTTGATACGAAATTGTAGCACTTTTTCCCCTACCTATTCGCTGATTGGAATGATTCGCTATTACAGCTTCTCGCGGACGTAACGAAATTTTAAATAACATGTCTTTTTACCAATGAAGTAGCCGTTTTACAATACTAAACGGCAATTTCTTAGGTAAAGGCCTAATATAGATACGTGCCTATGATTTTTTTACTGCATTGTTTGATGTTCGAGCTCACGGTCTAAGATATCTGGTGTTGAGAGGTTACTAGTGTGCTTAGTGTGAGTTTTTTAACGTTCTCGATAGCGTAAAAGTTAAGTCAAATTTGTATGGCGGCAAACGTAGGCATACGTTCCAACTCCATACCAAATTTGAGATAACTTTAACGCTATCGAGAACGTTAAAAAACTCGCACTAAGCACACAGATCCAACCCGTAGACGATTAAAATATGAAGCCGCCATCGAACTTCAGACTTAATTGTATAAATGGTTTCTCACTCTCCTAAGCAGAAAGCACGGTAACCTCGCGGCAGACATGGACATCAGAATACGCACCAACAGCAACAATGTAAAACCTAGTTTAAGGATTGCGGAAGATGGTGTTGTCAAATAAATAAATTTAATCGATACCTCTATAACAGAGACGAACTCAAAATAATATGATATGTTAGTGAGTATGATGTCTATTTTTAATTGACAAAATCGGAACAATTAAACACTTCTATTTCAATTCTATTTGTCGATTGATTTTCAATTAGCGTGATAAATAGAATAGTAAATTTTAATTTATAAAAATTAATAAGACGATACACCAAATGCCATTTTTTCCTCTCCATGTCAACCGATTATTTTCTTTGGCATCTATTGAAGAGATTTAGTGTTATCATTAAAAATTTACGGAAACACCTAGTCAGTTTTTTTACACCGAAAAATAATAATAATTTCTTTACAATTGTCTTCTCTAGTTGACAAGCTGTTTTTTTTAAGTCTTGAAAAAAAAAGGAGTAAAAGTATGAATGTGACGTCATAATATTTTATATTTCGTATAGCAAGACCTACATGCTACTTCTATAAGTTGAAACTTTAAAAAATGAATGGAACACGCTCTTGTTTCGGCAACACAATCACAACAGTTTAACGGGCTCGAATCCTGAAGACCGCGAGATAGCGGATGTACACCTGTGTTAATCGTGACGTCGTGAGAACCAACCTCGATCCTTAAAACAAACTTGAAATCAGATCAAACCGAAACAAAATGAACCTTATCGCATTGACAAAGGATTGTTAGTAAAAATGAATGGGCTTTCATTAAAATGGTAAGTCACATGTAAGGCTTTATAGTTCAACGCTGTTTGTTGTGTTATTTTGTATGCTTTGAACATCCGCGTATGGCTATTACCGCAATTTTTAGTGTAGTATGACTAGACTTTAAGGGACAGGATAAAATGATTGTACAGACACTTATGAAATATATTCATGTGAATGTGACACGTCTGCGACTTTTTAAAGCAGCTGTTATATAAAAATTTGGAACGAAAAATAATGTTAGTACGTAGCATTACTTACTACATGTAGCGTGTGCTGTGAGCCCACATGAGTAAGTACCATCATCCTGTCTATTTAGGCCGCGAAACTAAGACTAATATCGTGTCTCAACATTCATAGACTAGATTAACAAAAAATAATAGTTTAAAAAAACTAACAACGCTTTTATAGAAACCCCTAGAAAAACCTATTTTTTTTTTAAAATAAAATAGTGTAAGAAAAAAATATTTTATTGTAAAAAAGCGTGGGGTGCTTTTCAGGATATTATCAAAATAACCCTTCTACTCATATCTGTTCAAAAAATATTTATAACTACTGATACCATGCACCCCACGCTTTTTTACAATAAAATCATTTTTTCTTACACTATTTTTAATTAAAATTTATTACTATTTATTTTCTATTTTTTAGTTGGATTTTCTATAAAAGCGTACTTTGTTAGTGTTTTCAAAGTATTATTTATTTTTCATTTTTTAGTTTAATTTCCATTTTTTAAATGTTTTTTTCAATATTTTTTTAGTATTGAATTGTCATCGGTCCTTAATAAGTATACCAAATTTCGAGTTAATCCGACGTTTTGAAGGGGGTCAAGATCATGTTCAAAGATTCCGTTACAAACATACATACGTCTGAAGCTAATAAAAGCGTATTAAGAATAAAACATTTATTGCTTTTCACACAGATTTATATTATTACAGGTAAATAAAAATAAAACAAAAGAAAGAGGCTCAGCTGATGCTGTTCAAAGTGGATACATCGAACAGCGCTGATTTTTAGTCACCCCCGTTCCCATTTGGCTTATTGCGGGATTTATAACCACTTAAAATGAGGTAGTTTATACTGGTGGTAGGACCTCTTGTGAGTCCGCACGGGTAGGTACCACCACCCTGCCTATTTCTGCCATGAAGCAGTAATGCGTTTCGGTTTGAAGGGAGGGGCAGCAGTTGTAACTATACTGAGACCTTAGAACTCATATCTCAAGGTGGGTGGCGGCATATGCGTTGTAGATGTCTATGGGCTCCGGCAACCACTTAATAACAGGTGGGCTGTGAGCTCGTCCCCCCACCTACGGAATAAAAAAAAGGTGAACCGCACGCTTTACACACAGGAATTAATAAAACACTGCGGATTCTATTCACTGTGTACTGACACTTGCGTATTCAGTGATTGTGTGGTTATACTTTAATTGAAACACGAATTCTACTTACGATTCGCGCAGAAAAGTCCAATTGTAAATCATGGTTAACCTACATACATTCATTCGCACACGTGAGTATTTTGCGTAATAAGGGTAGAGCTAACCATGTGAACGGCGAAGCGATCACGATCTCTTACGATTTTCCAGACAGCGAACATAAAAAGTTTTCAAAGTTTTGATTTCAAAGAGTTTGGTTTTGTCTGTCGAACATTCATTGTGTGTACATTAATGTATGTGTAATAGATATACATATATTTAAACTAGGAACGAAGAATAGAAAAAATCTTGATACTGTCTTAATTTTTGTTTTTTTTTGCCTTTATACACTAGGTACAAACTCTAATTTCAATAATACCGTTTATTTAAAGACGAAATATTAACGTTTGCAAATCGGAACTTCTGTCCGATTTGCAATAATTTTCAGACCGTTGAAAAATAAAAGCGATAACTCGACGGATCCACTAAACCATAGAGAGCTTTAGAATTGAACGACTTGAATCAAAGAGTAATGATACTGATACAACAATGTTGTTGATTACGTATTTGAAAACCTTTCATGTGGCCGCTGGGTTATGGATCGGGAGACCGGCCATAAATCGCAATAAACTCGCAGCTCCTTTCGTGTGACCTCAGTGACGTGACTGACAAGAGCTTACAGTGCAAGCGCGTTGTTGCTTCAAGAGTAGTTACTTTTTTTTTATGATTGAAAGATTACTGGTGGCCCGGAGGCCTTTCCAGCTTCACCAGGACAGGTGGGCGAGCAAAGGCTCAGCCAGGAGGGGTGGAATTTGCTAACAACTGCCCGAGCGCCTCCGAAGGAGACCTAACAACTCAAGAGCAATTGGTTCGCGAATGAATCTACTACCGGATCGAAATCGCGACCCACTGAGAAGATCCGGCGAGAAACTCAGCGGGCTGATGCATGGGTTAGGTTGCACGTCGACCTCTTTGTCGAGTTCGACGAGTACCTACGGTTACCGGGGTTCCTCAGCCTGCTCCTAGTGTTAGAGCTGAAGGTATCTAATGCAAGAGTTATTGGATCTGATGGATCCGTAAGGACGTGAGTAGTTACTACGAGTATAACAGAAATCCCGATAATGGCTATAGTTAGTAGCTTCAAATGAGACATGTAAATTATGCTCGCCTGTAGTTGAGAATTTCCAGTGGTTTTATGTGAAAAAGTAAAAAACGATCGCTTTTTCTTAAGTGCAGGCTTCCACGGAAAACTAAGAAAATATATTTGCCATATATTTGTAACATTGCCTAATTTACGACAATGGCTATGAAACTTCAATAACTTGAAGAATTCGCATGAAGAGGCACTTTCCATTTTGTTGTGTGTATATTGTTGTACTTTTGTATGTGATAAAAATTATGAATTAAAATATCTAACATTTCATTATGTTCTATTTATCGTTGTACTTGTCTGTGTGATTAAAATTTATGAATTACATATTGTGTCTAAAATTTCAGATATGGAATTTCGTCTCGCCTGTATGTATGCTTAGATGAGTTCTTTATTTTAGATGGGGCTATGGCTGTGAGCGTGTAGGTGGCACGGCGTGACTGTGTGGAATTGTTCGTCGCGCAGGTGTGTCCGAGACTGGCCGGCGCCGGCGCGCATTCCATAGACGGTCGCAGCGCCCACTCAATGCGCACTTGAGCAATTACACTTACGTATCCTTCTTACCTCTATATTTGTTGTTCACAATTGAGAAATTTGCTAGTAAAAGCACATTCGAAACGAAGCTTTTGTTGTTATGAAATTCCTACGTTACCAATCAATTGGTTTTTAAACAAATTTAATGTAAATCTAACAATATTTTCTTCTTTTATTCGCACAATCAATACGTACCTTTTCAGGATCTACCTTACCTAGTACATTTCTAGCCTTATAGCTTGCCAGTATACACCAGTGCAATCTTTCACTTTTTTCCTACCTATTCTAGTGACCTCAAGGGGTCATACTAGATTCACCAAGCGAAGTTTCACTTTTCTGTCAGCGGTTCATTTTTAAACTTTTTCGAACATTTTTATTTCGATACAATTATATCGCACATCAAAATTAATATGTTCCTTTTCGCGATATTCCGTCTATTTTAAAAAAAAATTTTCAAAATATCAATATCTTTATATTTTATTTCATAGCCCAGAAGTAAGTACGAATTTAATCTATACTAATATTATAAAGAGGAAAGATTTTTTTTTTGTTTGTATTGAATAGACTCCGAAACTACTGAACCGATTTGAAAAATTCTTTCGCTGTTTGGAAGGCTACACTATTCCTGAGTGACATAGACTATAACCTTTTTAAAAAAAAATTAGAGATCCTTACTAAAACTCCAAAAATGTAACCTAAGGTGTAAAACAATTACCTAAATTATTCTTTACATCACGTACCCTGCGAAAACTATTGATGATAGAATAAAATAATGTAGGTACTACGACTTTGTTGAACACATTATTGTTTACAAAAAGTGTCGCGACATTAACTATAATACTTAGACATATGCATGTCTAACTATTACAGTTATGCCGCAATAAGTGTTATTTTATTTAAAAAAATAAAACAACGTCAAATATTGTTGAAATTTTTGTTAAAGACCCGAGCGGAGACGGAGCGGGCCGCTAGTATAAAATAAAATTCCTGTTTTGATATTAATTTTGTTATTGGTTTGAATTGAAGAAGATATTGTTATGTTACGATTATATTTCTGTCGTACAAGAGTATTGCGTAATATTAAGAATAAATATTGTGAGCAGCGCCAAATTCTTGAAGACTGTATGTCAGAACAATGAATTTCAAATAAAGAAATACTTTCCACTCTAAGTTTGCCTGTAAGATATCGCTCAGCAATGAGATATTCCTCTTTATGAAATGAATCCACGGCTTTGTGGATTCCACCTCACTAAATTATTGCAGTGATATAAATTCAACGGAGATAATGAGTTCAATCATTGAGTTCAATGAGTTAAGTGCAGTGAACCGGACTGCGTGTTGAGCACTCCGGATCCAAACCGAAAAAGCTACTAGTTAGACTAGCTAGATAATGACCACAATTTATTTTTATTTTCATATGTCTGTGCTGATCAAATTGCTAGAACACATTTTCAACGCTTCATCTCGCAATCTAAAATAAAAAATAATGCCTACTTATTTATGTATATTTCTAGGTAGGGCGACTTGTGACCTCGCATATGTACGTACCACCGCCCTGCCTATTTCTATATTGGCAAGCAGTAATGCGTTGTTTGAAATATGGTACAGCCGTTACAATACAATTCTCATGACTCAAGGTGACGGGCAGTATTCCCCTAATGATGTCTATGAGTTCGGGTAACAGCTCAACAGAATTAGGCCGTAAGCTAGTTCAAACAAATAAGCAATAAACAAAATAAAATCTTGCCCACATCATTCGTCACGAAGTGAGAAGTTTTGGCTCTGTCTTTTTAATTATTGCCGTCATTCAAATGACAATAATCACGTTTCATAACACGTTACCATATAAAAACTTGCATGCAATAGTTAACTCTTTCAATATTTAACATATTAACAAGGAATACTTATTCGCAAAAAAAAAAGGCAGTTCAGTAGCCGGCAGTGACAGCGCGTAATTACCATATCGATACCATATAAATACAAGTACATATAAATACTTTGTTGTGTGTAACTGAATTAAGTTCACCGAATCAGTTGTGTTGCCGCCTTTATCGGACAAGGCAATGTTATTTGTGATTATTATATGTGTGCAAGTGCTCTCTGTTTTCGGAGAGTCACCCCGAGTGACTGTGAAACAAGGCACTCTAGTCGGGAGTAAGACCAAAACTTATTCGGGCTATGAATACTATGAGTTCTTACAAATACCGTATGCAAAAGCCCCCATTGGCGAATTTAGGTTCAAGGTGAGTCCCAAAAATTTTGTTTTCAATATATACAATTTTTCCAAAGGTCACAGATATGAAGCTTTTATCAATAGAAAGTATGCTGATAACACAAACATTCTCACTCGTTCTCATCCAAAGCGTTCTCAATTAATAATTAAAGATGAGCTCATAATATCATCATCTTCGTCGTTATCAAGAAATGTATTACATACATAATACTTAATAGATGATATTACAACAATTTCCAAAAGCGAAGTTCTAGCATGCATTGGAAATTTCAGCTTGCTGTAATGATAAGTATTTGGACACTTGACGCTAAATATTGGCGTTCAGTAAAATCACCATCAAAATAACGAACATTTTAAAACATGTAACACCCAAAAACCGTAGTCTCATAGTAGAGATTATGAGTATAACAAACATTAAACAAGTAGTTACTTTTATATCTTAAAATAAGCCAGCTTAGATGGAGGTAGTGTGCATATTTTTGTATTATATAGATGAAATCACGGCCTATCAGGTATTATGTGGTTACCTGAACCCATAGATAGAACAATGTCGTCGTTAGACAGAAATCTAAATCCCAATCATATAGGATAAAACCTGCTCCGACCCTTCTAAATTTTATTCCTACCTAACTGCTGATAGCCCGTGTTAAAACTAGCCCTAGCAAGAGCAGTGTTGCGGAATCACGACCCACTGAGAAGACTTTTTTTAATTTTTTATTGCCTGGATGTCTGAACGAGCTCGCAGCCCACCTGGCGTTAATTGGTTACTGGAACTCATAGACATCTACAACGTAAATGCGCCACACACCAAACTCAGCGCATTGTGTCTATAGTATAAGTTGCATACGCAATGAATGACTGCTTCGCGACAGAAATAGACATAGTAGTGGCACCTACAAGCAAGCAATCTTGAATTCGATCTTCCAACATATGTATATGATGAAAGTTGTTAGGTATACTAAGCGATCAGAATGAGAATGCTATTCAAAGGCTCTCTTCTTCAACCCGTGTCAACCCAATGCTGAGTGTAGGTCTCTTCGAATGCACCCCATTCTCTTCGATCTCTTGCCTTTCTCATCCAGTCCCAACCACTTTGACCAGGTCATCGGTATTCGAAGGCTAGTGACGTTTGAAGATGAGAGAGGCGGAGATATGGCAACATCCCTGTATAATTTTAGAATTGACTGACTCGGTGGTTCAGTAGTAAGCATCTCTGACTGTTGGCTAAGGGTTTTAGGTTTGATTCCCATATTGGGTAATCATTCGTGCAATGAATAAGCTTGTTTTCTCTCTGTTTGACTGTTTAATGTATATATGTATATGTCTCTATTTAAAAGTATCTAGGTACGTATACAGAAACATAATAAATTCCCTTTCTCTTTTAAAATTTTAAGTACGAATGACATTGAGCGAACAAAATGCAAATGGTTTTTGAAACAGGTAAAGATTTGAAAAAAATCCCAACAGGTTTGGATTTCAAAAAAAGATATCAAATTAGCCATTCACATACTATGTAATTAGACAATTGCAGCATTGTAATAGAAGATTAATTTGACAGAATTTTGGCAACGTGAATAGTCCTTGCTCATTATGACTGTTTTATTCATTTTCTTTTCGTTACGTTTTTAAAATTTTTAAATTTATGCATTGTCCGATTTCTTTAAATATATTTTGTTTCTTATTTAAAAGGTTCCATAAATGAATAAGACTTATCAGAATACATCAACAAATACGATGTTATCGCAACAATACATGCAACAAAAGCAAATGTGTGTAACAATTGTAGATTGGTAGTACCTACAGCTTCTCGCAAGTACGTAAATAGGTACCACCATATTGCCCATGCTGTCACGACGCGACGCAGTCATGTACTCCGGTTTGAAAGAGGGGATAGCTCATTAAAAGCACAATTGAAATTTCTAAATGATGTTTCAGGAATTCACATTGTTCAAATTGTCGATAAGGTGGCTTGGATAGAACAATATTTTCAACTAACAACATGATACATGGTATTTTATGATAAATATAATACTAAAACGGAATATATTCTCAAATATTACATACATCGAAATTAATTTGCGGTTATTATTCTGAATTCTTACGTTCCCAATTCTCGTATAATTAAATTCGTTGGGGTACCAAAACAAAAACCTTAAAACTAACTAACTAAATAAAACCCTACAATTTTTTTATTAAATTAAGTTTAAGTATTTGTACGTATGCATTTAATGAGCTCATATGAATGAAATTAATTCGAATACATTTCAGAGTCCACAACCACCAGAGTCTTGGGAACACGAAAGAGATGCTACTTCAGTAAATCCGAATAATGTTTGTTTTCAATTCGATATTTTCCTCAACGCTTCAAGAGGTAGTGAAGATTGTCTGTATCTCAATGTTTTTACACCAAAACTGCCATCTTGTGATAAACTTCTTCCAACCATGGTGTCCATACACGGAGGAGGTTTTGTCTTGGGAAATGGGATAATTAAGACAGGAAATGGACCAGACTTTCTTATTGAACATGATGTTGTCGTTGTATTTATAAACTATAGACTAGGGGCTTTCGGATTTTTATCTTTAGATATACCGGAAGCTGCTGGTAACATGGGACTGAAGGATCAAGTGATGGCTCTTAAGTGGGTCCAAGAAAACATTCAACAATTTTGTGGTAATAAAGACAGCGTAACAATATTTGGAATAAGCGCCGGATCTGCGTCAGTTGAATATTTACAATTGTCACCTTCGTCTAGAGGATTATTTCAACAGGCAATATTACAATCTGGATCCAGTCTCAATCACTGGGCCATTGAATATGACATCAAAGAACTTGGATTCAAAATGGCAAACGACCTTGGATATAATGGAACTAAAGGAGACCACAGGGCCATTTACAATTTTATATTTGGTAAATCATTCGAAGAACTGAGTGACGTGGTATTAAAATATTCAAAATCCTCGAATTTCAAGGGAACAAAATTTGGTTTTGTACCATCCATTGAAAAGGACTTCGGCAATGGAGACGCTTTTCTAACTGAATATCCTTACCAGATATTAAAAGAAGGAAAATTTAACAAGGTACCGGTGATTAGAGGATTTTGTGAATTCGAAGGCTACTTAACTGCCGGCGAAAAACCATCGGATCTGGTAGAAATTCGGCAGAAGAAGAACTTCCTTGACTTCTGGGCCTATCCCCTGAACGAAACAGACGCAAAAAACCTAAACGAAAAATTGCGTGATCTATATTCAGGAGATGATAGTGCCATCGATTTTTTCAGCGATTATGACTTTACCAGTGGAATTTTGACAAGCTCTAAGTTAATGCTTCAAAACGGTGTACAATTGTATCTTTATAATTTCGCTTATAACGGAAATATGAATTTCTTAAAAATATTGTTTGATTTAAAGCTACAAGGAGCTGCACACGGTGACGATACGGCTTATATCATATATATGCCGAGCTTGATTAACGAAAAGGTCAATGACGAGGACTTCTTAATCAGTAAGAGATTAACAAAGATGTGGACCGATTTTGCCAAAACGCAGTAAGTACCATACTTAATAAAGTAAAATGTAGTTACTTTCTTATACATTTTATGTGAAATTGTAACAGTGTTTTGTGTTTGTGTTTTTTGTATTCCCCAACAATGGAAAGAAGACTTTAAGCTTCGTTCGAAAGATGGCATGTCGTAGAACTCCAGAAATGACGTAGAAGGCAGTTCATTTTAGAGTGTCCACGAATGTCGCACTCTAGTCGTACCTACCTAAATAAAAATGAGAAAATCTAATTCGAAGGCGGGTAGTGTAATCCCAAATGTTCAATTAATTAAATAAATATTTCATAGTTTTAAATCGTTATTTAGATTTCTATGAGCCACAATGTAAAAAGGTTGTTGTTTCCATTAATTAAATAATGGCTCATATTAAGCTAACATTATAAATCCTTCCAGAACGAGAAGCGTGTTAAGCCGATTACAATTTTTGTTACCTTTTCAGAAATCCAACACCTACTGAAACTGAACTGACACCTATTGTATGGCCACTCTTCGATTTAAAGGAACAAAAGTATTTAACTATTGATAGAGAATTAAAATTGAAAAATCATTACTCACCGACGAGAATGGCTGTCTTTGAAGAGATATATGAGAAGTATCAAAAATAAGGTTATTACATATCAATCTCGAGTTTGATTTTCGTTGTACAATTCATTACAATTCTTATGAAATAAATTTCAATCAGATAGTTTCGTTTTTTTTATTCTTATTAAAAAGAACTTCGACTTTACTAAATTAATAAATCCTTTATTATAGTAGAATCAATCAAACCATGAAGAAATAATCAAATATCACATAAGTACATAAATAATTTTATCCATTGCTGAAAAAGGTAGGTGGAGTATCATCTTCCAGAATCACTTCCTAATAGTCAATTGAATTATTTATAATAGTGGGTATATCAATTTGTATAGTATGACGTAACATGGTTTTTTTGGAATTAACATACGATATATTGCTGTCCATGTTCATATTCAGACTCATTCGGATAGAAGCCCTACTGAGGTCTTTGAGCATTGTACTGAGGTCCTCCAGGGTCTCGGCCTTAATCACAATATCGTCGGCGAACCGAAGGTGAGTTATGTACTCACCGTTGCTGTTGATGACTAACCCTTTGGATTGCGACGTTGAAGTGGCAGTGGGCAGGACACATTGCTCGTAGAACGGATGGCCGTTGGGGCCAGAAAGTTCTTGAGTGGCGACCGCGTACCGGAAGACAGGCCTCTCACAAGATGGACCGACGATCTATCGAGGGTCGCGGGGATCCGCTGGATTCAGTCAGCGCAGGACCAGTCTTTGTGGCGAGGCTTGGGGGAGGCCTATGTCCAGCAGCGGACGTCTGTGGGCTGGTAAGATGAAGAAGAAGATATTGCTGTCACATTTCTGTATGACCTATCCGATGCCAAGAACCTTAAAAATAAACTAAAATATTGAAAAAAAACGTTACAAACGATGTATTGTATGTAGGTATGTACTTATTATTTTGTTAATTTCGACATGATCGAATCATAGCAGCTTAAAAGCTGTTGGGTAGGAAAAAAATTATCTTAAAAATTTAAAACTTTACACTCCATGAATTAAGTAATAGTTTGATATCGCCATCTGTAGAGCAATAGATTATTGTTATGATTTTACTTTTCAACAACAGATGGCAGTGTTTTCGTTTTATTTGATACTAAATGAAAAACTAATAATGAATCTTATTTAAATTGATTTTCTATCAATATACTAAATAAAATAATATATTAAGCACAAAATAAATTTTAGTTTAAAGAAATCGGATCAGATATCACATAACCATGACTGCTTAACACTTTTTAAATTATTTACGGCCGTTGGCTATTCAACTTTTAAGTCTCTCTAAGTGTCCTAATTTATAAATATTTGAGGACAAAAAATTTACTTGTATTAAAATGGGAATTAAATACATTCCACTTAACCGTTTATTTTACTTACATATGGTTACGAAATTATATAATTCTTACCAAAAAAGGATTATTTTATCAAAGCTCCCAGATTATGTAACTAAGATTATTCACGTTGATTTTTTCTAAAATAATATGAAATTGTGTATATAAATGAAATAATTGCGTTTTATTCACATACATTTAAAATAATCGGTATAATAAGGGATTAAGAGTTAATACAAAAAATAAATGTTTTTTAAAACTAAAAAACTGAAACTAACCTGGTTTCCAGTTGGTAGCCCAATATGAAGCATATAATATTAATTTCAATTGCCATCACGAATATCCTTTAAATTCGGAACACGTGATTGCTTTGTGGCAGAACTAGACAGGGCAATACTTATCGGTACGACATACAAATACTATCTACTGCCAGTAATTGCGCAAATCATTTTGCTAGTTTGATTTTTATGACACGATGTTTTATCCCTTCATCACGGAATTCATTTGCGGACACGTGTAAAGTTTATACTTGCCTGCACGATTTGACCACCAATATTTTTAAAGAGGAGTGAGAGTTACTGGTGATTCAAAATGGTTTCCGGCTTCACCAGACTGGTGACCGAAGTCAACGACTAAGTTAGAACCCTCGTAGGGACTTACTAGCAACTGCCTCGAAATCGCGACTTGTTGAGAAGCATCGGCGAGAAACGCAGTGGGCTGATGCTGTAGGCTAAGTGTCATGGTGAACTCTTCGACTTGGAAGTACGAGGGCGGCACTGAAAATTTCGGGAATTAACGAAGTGACACAACATTACTATTTAAAAATGTATTTATTGCTTTTCGAAGTATTATCCGCGAAATTTGACACATTTTTCCATACGATGGAACCAATCATTGAAGCAACCATTCCATTCGGAAGTTGGGGTCTCCAAAATGGCCGTTTTGTAGGCGTCCACAGCTTCTTTAGGTGATGAAAATCTCTGTCCACGCAATTTATTCTTTATTTTAGGGAAAGTATAGAAATCATTAGGGCTTAGGTCGGGGCTGTACGGCGGATGGTCTAATAATTCTATGTTTTCTTGCTCTAAAAACTCTTTTGTTCTGTGCGCGGTGTGAGAACTCGCATTGTCGTGATGGAGGATGATGCGGCGGTTGCAGTTCTCTTTACGGAGTTCAGAAACGACCTGTGGCAAACAAATGCTAGCATACCATTCTGCATTAACCGTTCTTTGTCCCTCAAGAGGAATAGTCGTAACATGGCCGGTTTTGGAGACAAACGTGGCCACCATTTTTTTTGCAACACTCCGTGAACGAACAATTTTTGTTGGCTTTAACTCATTTTCGAACACCCAAACTCGTGACTGGTTTTTTGTTTCGGGTTCGTACGCGTATATCCAGGATTCGTCACCTGATACAATGTTGTATACAGCATTTGAGGATCCTGCGTGGAATCTTTCGAGAGTTCTGACGCACCAAGTAACGCGAGCCGCTTTTTGCTCTTCACAGAGCGAATGCGGTATCCATCGGGAAAACAACTTTTTTACACCTAATTGTTCATGCAAGATTATTTGTATTTGACTCATGCCAATGTCTAAAGTTGCCTGAATTTCGCGGTATGTCACATGTCGATCTTCCTCAATCAGCTTACGCACAGCATCAACGTTTTCTTGGGTGACTGCAGTTTTTGGACGACCTTGACGGGGATCATCACTGAGCTTGACACGTCCACGTTGAAACTCAGCAAACCAGCGATAAATTGTGGTTTTGGATGGGGCTTCATCACCAAATGCAGAAATCATCCGGTCAACACACTGTTTTTGTGTTAAACTACTTCGAAAGTCATAATAAATCATCGCTCTTGAATTTTCTCGGTCAATTCCATTTTCTCAACGACTAAACAAGTTTGACAAAACCTCGTGACAAGACCGAGAATCTTTTTTTAAATAAATAAATGGTATTCGATTTTTAAAACCAAGGAGTTTTCAATTAAAAAGATTTTAATATGACAGGAACAGTGGAAATATTCCATTCCCGATACTTTTAGTGCAGCCTAGTACCATACTATTCACAAGTCAATATTATAAAGAACAAATTAAGCAACCAAATGGCAATAGAAACTGCCGAAGCGGTTCTCAGGATTCGATTTTCACTGCCAAATAGTTGCATAAATTTTGTTCCCACATCGGACATGTTACATAATATATTTAACTTCGAAAACGTGTATGCTTTAAATAATAATAACGAAAGTGAATATGATTGTAATAATTGTTTAGAGATGGTTGAAGTTATAGGGACAGCTTGATTAAAAAATAAAAGAACCCATTTGGTTTTTTACTTCTTCTTTAAAATAAGTAAAAACTGTTTTGGGGTTTTTTTCTTCAAAAAGCCTATTTTCGGGGGGTTTTCGAAAAAAGTTAGGGGGAAATTCACACGGTCATCTGGCAGCACTGGGTCTACGGTTTTACAAACACAGATAGGTAATACATAATATCTAAAAGTGGATATATTCTATGATCGCAGTTTCTGGTTTGACAATCATTGAGATAACCCGGCAACCGATAGGACTGTTTGACTCGAATATTCTAGATTCCGCAAATTTTGAACAGCGTTCATCGTGCTCATATTCTTCGCTTTTGAATTCTGTTAATTAAAAATCGAAATGGCCAATGCAGTAAAACGATTGGTTCCTCTTCTGGACCGTGTCCTGATCAAAAGAGCTGAAGCTATAACCAAAACTGCCGGAGGTATTGTCATCCCAGAGAAGGCTCAATCCAAGGTTTTACACGGAGAAGTAGTAGCGGTCGGTCCTGGAGCCCGAAAAGAAAATGGAGACTTCATCCCCGTTCAAGTTAGTGTGGGTGATAAAGTTCTTCTTCCAGAATACGGCGGTACTAAAGTAAGCCTTGAAAATGATGAGAAAGAATATCATCTCTTCAGAGAGTCTGACATACTGGCGAAAATTGAAAACTGAATGATGGTAGCTTTAACATGTGATTCTAATTCTGTTAGTTTAGTTGTAGCGTGCGCAAATGAAACGTTGATGTGGTCGTGTATTTTTTGTGAGGTATTGATCTTATCTCAGTTGCAATACTTGCATTTCTTATTATAATAATAATTATTGTTATAAATCTGTCGTTTTATTCAAAATTTCTCCACTGATATATTAAAATGTTACATCATCATGTAAACTAACCTAACCTCAAAAGGAGCATGCATTTTATAAACGAGTTGGTATGTTGAGGAACAATTTTTTTTGTATCCCACCATACTATAATTGTAATACGGCAAAACTATTGAAGTCAGCCTCAATATGATTTACATTAATTTGAGAGCAAAAATGCTATAGGATTATTTCAATTCCCATTCAAATAGAGCTACCAACAATTAAAATTAATTGAGATAACACTTATTATAGTATTTAGTAATAGCACACTGATATGATTTTTAATCTTTGCTATTGTGGAAGACCACATGAGCACAGACTACCATTAAGTGAGCAGTTATAGTTGCTCATGCTCTTGTCAGCAGTGGCAATGCTTATATATTTTGATTTATGCAATGGACTCCCTACAAAGTTTTTCTTAGCACTATAACATGTCCTTTAAATGAGGTTCAAAGACTCCAGAGCAGGTGCAAAAGGATTAACCGAGCTCCTGGCAATACAGATATCATCTTAAGTGTTACACATCACAATGTTAATTCTGAGACTCAACTTGAGAGATGAGATTGGAAGACTGGAATGAATTATCTTGTATACTAGATGTCTAACCCTTCAAACCTCTGGTTACCTCTACAGAATGGCTATACAGCAGAAAACAGCTGGATGGTGGAATCATATTCATTTGAGGTCTTAATATACCTTACTAACAGTAGTATGCAATGCTTTAAATGTGTTGGATACAAAGATGTATGCTGTTTTCACAAGATTGAGATATAAAATCTTCAAACAATCCAATTTACAGAAAATACAGTAGGTACCATAAAATAGGCTCAAGATTTTGTTACACCTCATAATAAAGCAAGATAAAAAATAAAATTTTGTCATTATTTAATCAATGATTTTAACATTGCAGTGGTATTTGTACATAAAGATAATAAAGTATAACCCACATCACATTTTTATCACTTCTAAGATGCAGTTAATTATTTCATGAATGAGATTAAGCTGGCTGGCACAATGATCCTTCTTACTAAGATTAATATATTTTTTAATTAGCTGTCAAATGTGAGCACCAGCGAGTGACATTTTCTTAAAACATCTCTGTGCTACCTCTTCTATGTTGGGCACTTTCATTATAACAAAAAATTGAATGGACTTCAGTACTGACTCAGTTATGCTAATAAAATAATATGTATGGATATTAAACTTGAAAATACATTTCATATTGTTTGGAAAGAGTAAATAAATTTGAAATATCTTAATTAAAATTAGTATTAAGTTAAGAACACAGTAAAAATACCAGACTGTGATCGTGAAAGCTAATTTTTAAAGCTAACCAAATGTATTTTTATATTTTTTAGTGAAATACTTTTTATTGTGCTCCATGTATGTGAAAGATCTAGATGATTTGATAATAAAAATACTGATAGTACTGGCGTTGGTGGGGTTATATTAGTTTTACATTATTTGTGATTCAAAATGGCAAGTTAAAAGCAAATTTATACATTAGAAAAGTGAACAATCTGTTATTTACTAACATAAAATACTATGGCATATGTAAGGAATGTCTTAAATAAACATGTTAATACTGAAATGTAATATCAATGTCAAATGCAGATCCTTACTTATATATTAATTATATGCAAATAAGCTATCTTATAATACAAAGGTACATAATAATGGCATATTAGTAAATTTGTCACTATTGTAATGATATGGCCGTACGTCGTACTGCTGCAGACAGAGCTGGATTTGGATCAGGTGGCTCAGTCAATAATTTAACAGATGTCCAACAGCCATCTTCATTTGATTGTCGCAAAGCCTCCATAGTTGCTTGGACTCTTTGTCCATCTTCAAAAGTTGCTGCCGCTTTAACAGGTTCTTTTATCCAGTCCATTTCTTCTTTGACGGGCAAAAATGCCTCTTTGAGAGCACTTATCATTTTACAAAGACCTTTTATGTAAGGCTTAGGAACCACACTTGAGGCACAGCTTAAATCTTCTATATCTACATATATAACATCTTCTTTGTCGTGCCTCTTAGTTTCCTCATCTGGGAAATGTTTATTAGAGTAGGTTTTATGCAGTTTTCCATGGAGATCACCACCTCTCACCACTAAATATCCCTTTTTGCTACAAACATAAATCTCTTGATTAAAACATGGTCCTGGTAAATGATTATTTAGTGTCGCAGTCACTAACAAGCCTTTGTCCATTTGTAATTGGAATGTACAAAAATCTGGAGCTGTGATCTTCCTTATACCATTTATTTTTGAAGTCTCTTCAACAAAAGTCCTCAATACACCATGTACTTTTACTACTTTCTGTTTAGTAAGAAACGATACCAAATCTATAACATGGCTTCCCACTAAAGTTAAGGTACCTCCGCCCATTGTATCATCACATAACCAGTTATAAGAGTCTCCTATTAAAGGTCCCATTTGTACTCTTACATCTATAAGTGTTAATTCTTCAGGGTCTCCAAGATATCCCTCTTGAATACACTTTCTCATATGAGTGAATGCTGGTAAAAATCTCAGTGAATGATTAACAATAGAAATGAGCGTTGGATAATACTGTGCTGCACGAACCATCTTCAATGCTTCAGCTTGGCACAGTCCCGCTGGTTTATCACAAACAACATGTTTTCCTATACCAAGTGCTTTGACAGATATCTGAGCATGAAGATTTGGGGCACAAACTATGAAAACTAAACTCACATTCTTCTTGAGAAGGACGTCGTCAATTTTGTTTGTGAAGAAAGGAATTTTAAGTTCTTTTGCGGCTATCTCTGCTTCTTGCAAAGTTATACCCCATATTGCTTCGACAGAAAATCCTTTCTCTTTCAAGAAAGGCACCAGAACTTTAGCAATCGCTCCTGTTCCAAAAACCCCAATACCCGGTAACATTGTCCTTACTTTGTTTTCACTGACATTTAATAAGGTGAGGCTTCAAACATATTAGGTACAATCGAATTTGATTGAATGTAATAGTTCTAAATTCCTATTCTAAATGCGATTCATTTTCTATTTAGAAATTAGAATGAAATAAGATTCTGCAAATTGTCTCGCTCGACAAATCAAGGCAACATTAAATTTAAATTTTTATTTACAACTTGTACATAATAAAGTACATACATACATACTTAAGTAATTGTATTTATGAAATTACAAAATTGAAAATTTCAATGTGACAACTGACAGTTGACATTTGATAGTGTTGACAGTACTACTACATCTTATTTCAATGTTGTTTCAATGTAGTACTCTGTTAATGTAAAAGAGCATATTTTGTAAAAAAATTTGACCGTAATTTTAAAAATCTTCATAAAATTTATGATATATATTTAGAACATATTATGTTAAATACAGCAAGCTAAATCTAGACAGATTCTGAATTTCCGATTGGTTTTTTGTTTTAATAGAGTTTTTATACAAAAAACCTGTAAAATATTAGTTAAGGACGAAATAAAAGTTCTTATTTTGTTACTTGGAAATGAGTGAAAACCGTAAAGAAACACGCAGACTGTATTATAAATTTATGTTTTTCTATTAGATCATAGATTAAACCACATATTTTTGAAAATTAAAAATGCGAAAAATATAATAAATTAAATTGCTTTAGCAGTACTGAGTATTTTTTGTTACCCTTTCAACACTTTCTAATCAAAATGGTTAGTTTTCTTATAAGATAGAAAAAGAAGGATGCTATATTTCCTATTTATAATAATAATATTTATCATGAAGTTGTTTTAAATGATTGATTATAGCGTTTCAATTTAAAGAAAAAGAAATAGTTATCATAATTATCAGCATAATTTTGGGATAGTAACAAAACAAGAAGCTTGGGTAACAAAATTAGAAATGTAAAGCTTCGTATACACTGTTTTTTTTTGTTGTGATTGAAGAATTACTGGTGGCCCGGAGGCCTTTCCAGTTTCACCACGACAGGTGGGCGAGCAAAGGCTCAGCCAGAAGGGGTGGCATTTGCTAACAGCTGCCCGAGCGCCTCCGAAGGAGACCTAACAACTCAAGAGCAACTGCTTCGCGAATGAATCTACTGCCGGATCCGGATCCGGAGCGGATCGTGACCCGCTGAGAAGATCCGGCGAGAAACTCAGCGAGCTGATGCATGGGTTACGTTGCACGTCGACCTCTTTGTCGAGTTCGACGAGTACGACTACCGGGGTTCCTCAACCTGCTCCTAGTGTTAGAGCTCAAGGTATCTAATGCAAGAGTTATTGGATCTGATGGATCCGTAAGGACGTGTCTAGGGCGACGACGGTGACTTGCTCCTGCGTGATCAGGATTCGGGGAGTAGTCAGCGGCGGCAACGATAAGACCATTATCATGACGCATAGCCTTATCAAAGTAACGTTCCGACGCTGACTTCATGTGTTTGCGTATCGATTCGAGGCCCAGGTCGTCGTGTAGGTCAACGTTCCTCACGAACCACGGAGCCCCGACGGCTTACCTGCAAAAGCGGGATTGAAGGGATTGGAGGGTGTCTATGTGAGTGGGAGCCGCGTGAGCGAACACCACACTCGCGTAAGTCATGACGGGCCTTATGTAAGTTTTGTAAAGTTTTACCTTGTTCCGAAGGGACGTTTTACTCCGTTTACATATGATGGGGTAAAGTCTGCCGAGAATAAACGCGGCACGATCGCGGACTGTTTTAATATGCGGGCGGAATGTCATAGATGAATCCAGGGTGACTCCCAGGTATTTGACCTTCCTGGTCCAGGGTATAGGTTGACCAAAGAGGGTGATCGGGGGTGACATTGACACTATCATAAAATGAAAACAAAATAAGTAAAAATCCAAACAAAAATAAAAAATTTATTGCGAATATTATTCCAAAATCAAAACTTTCATTGAGGAAACAAATAAAAACTTATACCTTCTAATTAATCAGTTGAGTCTTCATTATATACTAGTATGACAATTATGTGAGATGTGTACTTAGCTTTTAACTTTTTTTGTTACTCCTCGTTCTGATTATACGTTACCACGCGAAAGTAACAAAAACAGAAGTAACAAAAGGACGGGTACAGAATAAAATTACATATTCTTTAAAACTCACTAGTTAAATAGTATTTTACATCAAATTGTAGTCTTTAAAATTAACTATTTATCAATTTTAACAAGAATATTAAGTATCTTGAACTTACCTTCATACAGGGTAACAAAATCCGGATCGAATTCGCCGCAGTGCAGGGTACAGCGTTAAGCCGCGGCTGTTGTCGACACCGAAATGACATCACAACAAAATGGCGATGTGAAATGTCGTCAATAGTGTTGCCAAAAGTAAAAAACACTAACTAAATTACTAGTTTAAAAAATCTTTCGACACAAAAATCGGTAACAAAATCTAAATTCCATTTTGGAATTTTTATGGGACAATATTATTTTCCGAAAACTGATTAACTTACGACGTATTTCACTATATACTAAATGAAACATGTATTCAAATACTCTAAGTAGTGTTTTAAGACTATAACATATTATATTCAGTTTTTTAAATGTAATGAAATAAATAAGTTCAAAATCACTGCGGTTTCAATGGGACAACTTATTTTCCATAGTACGAAAATTTTGGTTTTTAGATTATTAATTATTTATTGTAGTTAGTGTGTTTTTTTTATTGTTTTGATAATTTCTCTGATAATTAAGCAATATATTTAGACTATCGTAGTAAAAAAATAATCAAAGACCAAAGTATGGGACATCAACATTGCGGCTATAGTAAAAAAAAATTGAGAAATGCTCAAAACTAGATTTAGCTCTCGACTAGACATGTACTATATATTTATATTCATTCGCAAGTTCATCGCCGTAATGCTTTGTTTCTTTTACGGGAGAGAACCAGCTTGGGGCGAGTCATTATTAAAACCTTTCCACTGCTGATGGGCATTCCTATAATTAGACAGCATAAGCTCCGTCTCTTGCCGTTCATATCTTCTTAGAATGACCATAGGAAATAAAATGGCAGAAGCCCTTATCAATTTTCTGGCAAAATCATAAACGTAATCACGTAGCGTAAGCGCTATTCACATTTTTTTAATTCCATCCTCTCCTCAGGATCCAGAATTACTTTCACCATTTGCTGGAGCTCAGTGATTTACGCTGGCTTCTCTTTAATGGACATTAAAATTTTGTGTTTACCCAATTTGCCATTATTTTATTATACCTAAGTATTATTGTAATTAAGGGCTAAATCGATGCAACGGCTATTGTCCACTGTTTGGACGGTGAGAAACGGAATTCTGTCGATTATTAATCATCACCTATGCGAACTGCTTTCTTCTATGTGAAGATACAGGCGGAAGCTACTGGTCTTGAACGTTCATAAGTTGAAAGAGTCAGATTATATCCTCACAATGGTTTTGAAGACAAGCGCCCCTGAGCTGACATCTGCGTTAAGGCGTTTGTAAATCCTCTCGAATAACAAACACTCTGTTAGTGCTATACGTATTCCATATTCGTGAAAAACCGCTCATGTCCATCCTATACCCAAGAAGGGTGACCGGTCGGACCTCTTGAAGTAGGTATACCATGTCTACAGTGATAGCTTCCTTGTTTACAAGGTGATCGAGCGAATACGCAACTCTTGAAAAATCTTGAGGATCGCCAGTTGATCAGTGATCGACAGTATGGTTTATGTCACGGTCGCTTAACTTGTGATATTTTGTAATACTTTACTTACAGGTGGGCTAAATCCGTGGAGAGCAAGGGCGACGCTCTCGCTGGGGGCCCTCATATCGCGGAGGCTTTTGAGAGGGTCTGGTACTTCTGTAAAAATTAACATTTACCAAATCCCCGAGGGACTCTGCAAGTGATTCGCTTTTGGGTTGTGCAAAGCATCATAGTTATCGCAGACGGCTGCTGCTCCGATACCGCAATCGTACTGCCATTTCTCGGGAATCGCGCTACGTTTCGTTTAGCTACTAAACTAAACTAATGACCGTCTCCGACAAATAAATTTATGCTACAGAAATCTTATTGGATAAATTTTATTTTATTGAAATAATGTATGAATTTCTACCTCGTATCTAATTATGGACGGTTGCATTTTTTGTGATATATTTTGACTTCACCGAAAAGAACGTGATTGTAAGTCGTCTGCACGTTGATAGGTAGAGTTTAGAGATTAATGTCGATTGAAAAACATTGTTTTGTTCGGATTTCGTTCACGTAAATGGAACAAAGAATAATATTTGTTAAGAAAACAGTAGGCGCGGCCGTAAGTCACACTGGATGGCGCTTAAAACGAATCACTTTTCGTCGGAGTGGTTAAACTCAATGCTTTGATATCATCCACCTGGACAAAGTAGGGTTGGCATTTCATGCGCACGTAATAATTTTATTAGATAATTGTAATTATAGGCTACGTGAAAAAAATTAAACTTTTATAATTTTGTTGTTTGACTATCTGTATAAAGGCGGATAAGTATTGTCAATTTATTTCGTGAAATGATACAATGTGCTATTTAGAGGAGCGTAACGTTATGTATGTTATTGAGGATATAACATTCAGATGAGAAATTGTTCCGTAAAAATAATGCTTACATATTTAAAATATTTTATACTTTAATACTTAATTTATATTTTTATAAACTCTTCAATTTACTTCTTGTTTTACGTTGTTGTTTTCCAACGCCGTTTTCACTGGACCATATTTTCTTTATATAAACAATGGATATTGTGTAAAAGTATTAAAATACTGTTAGTTAATGTATGTAATATTATATTTATACTATTAGTTACTATTTACGTTACTATTGACTGGAAAATAATGAGCCTAAATTAAGTAGGTACTGGCAGTTGACATCCCTACGTATATCCTATTTGCAGCAATTCGTCTTCAATCTCGGTCGGAACCCACCGCGATACTCGATAACTTCCACAATTAGTTTCTGAGTGATGAGCTCAAACAAAATGAATTTAGAATCTATTTTTTCTTCGCAAAATAGGTCCACTTAATCACAAAAATTGTAAAGGTCGACGAAAACAAAAACATTTACTACAATCGGATTTAAAAAATTTGGATTTTTTACATAATTTTCAATAAGATCTTTGTCACTTTTTGAAATTGCTACCATAAATACACATTCTATTTAAATAACTTAACTCAATATAGCAAGCTGAAGTGGCAGTGGGCTGGCCATATATGCCGTAGGACTGACGATCGCTGGAGCAGACGGGTTCTCGAGTGGAGACCGCGCAGCGGAAGACGTAACGTGGGACGCCCCCTGGCTAGATGGTGCGATGACCTCCGCACGGTGACCGGCAAGAAGTGGATGAGGAGAGCCGCAGAACGGGCTCAGTGGTGTAGATTGGGAGAGGCCTATGTCCAGCAGTGGACGACTGTGGGCTGTTGATGATGATGATGAACTCAATATAAATATAGTAATTTCGCGAGTCGCGGACATGATTGAAAGTAATTTTACGGTTTAATCTAACGTTTTTTTTTGTTACTACATTATTTCCGATGTTTTAAATACTTCATAGTTTTCATTATCACCGACGACTAGACGGCACTGGAGTCGTTCAATAAACCATAAAATCATTTTTAAATATGTCGATGTTTCAATATTTACACGTTTTGAAAGCATCCGACCTATCGAAAATATTCGAACCCTTAGGATGTGCATAGCACGTGTAGAATGGCTAGAAACAAAGTATTAAGTGTCGCGGAAGTGTGATCCGATGCGACCTCGTCAAACTTTTTTGTTTTTTTTTATCTCACTGAGCGCTAATAGCATCGTGACATTCCTAGTTTGTAAAAATTTAATTCAATTAACTTTAATTTGATTAAATTAATTTAAGATAAAATTAACAACTTTAAATATTGTTTCAAATAACATTTTCGAGTATCCGTAAATTGTAAAATAGAACCAAGTTCTTATTAGTAATAGGTAGTTATTACTTATCTCGGTGTGGCACTATTGCGATATTGCACCTAAAACCTATAATTTCAATGGCCCCTACGCCTTATTGACTGTTTTAGGAGTTTGAAATTCGTTAACGAGAGCATCCTATATCATTACACAATGTTGTATTTATTTAAATTAACGGAAAAATAAATTTAAAGGAACATTTACACATTCATGAGTTTTCATTCGGTATTTCTAGAAGAGAAATTAAGATACACACGAGGTAAGGTTTTTTATGGTTGAAGGATTACTGATGGCCCGGAGGCCTTTCCAGTTTCACCGGGACAGGTGGGCGAGCAAAGGCTCAGCCAGGAGGGGTGGAATAGTGGGATTTGCAAACAACCGCCCGAGCGTCTCTGAAGGAAACTTAACAACTCAAAAGCAGCTGCTTCGCGAGTGAATCTATTACCGGAACGGAATCGCGACCCACTGAGAAGATCCGGCGAGAAACTCAGCGGGCTGACGCATGGGTTAGGTTGCACGTCGAACTCTTTGCCGAGTTCGACGAGTACGGCTACCGGGATCCCTAAGCCTGCTCCTAGTGTTAGAGCTGAAGGCGTCTAATGCAAGAGTTATTGAATCTGATAGATCCGTAAGGACGTGTCTAGGACGATGACGGTGACTTGCTCCTGCATGATCAGGATTCAGGGAGCGAGGGAAGGTGTGTGTGTGTGTATAGAAACAAAAATATACATAATATATACTTCTATACGTACCTATTATTATACTTGATGAAATTACCCTGATAATTAATAATAAAAAGTTACATTATTAATTTACAATAAGCTTAATAATAAGTTACATTAAGGTGACAGGAAAGGTTTCTGTCGTAACTTAATGTAGCTACTTGTAGAATTCTTTTAAATTACAATAAAACGTTGGCTATAAAATGTATTGTAGTCATCAACTATATACAATTCTTAATTTTGTAAATTCCATATCGCACCATTAGAATTGAAGTGGCTTAATCCGAAACTCTTGTTTTATGGTAAACGCCAAAAATGTACCTAACTGAAGAATTGTAATTTTTTTGTTATTTGATTTTAATACTTTACGGTACATAATGTGCTTAATTTAAAAAATACGGAAAGAGTAACTTTGACCTTTTCTAGACTAAAAGAGATTGTTTAATTTTATAAACTGATAGAAAACTAGATTTTTTTTTTATTGCTCTTGTAGGCAAACGAGCATACGACCCACCTGATGGTGAGTGGTTACCGTCGTCCATGGACATCAACAATGCCAGGGGCAGAGCCAAGTCGCCGCCTGCCGTAATTATAAGTAGTTCAAAGTATAAAACTCATTTTCTTAAAATGTTATGTTAAGCTACTTCAATTTTTGAGGTGCGATACGTGCAGCCTAACTTTACAACCCGTTCAAAATCCCATCTAACTTAACTTAATTTAAATCAACTAAAGGAAATTTGAAAATAGGAACCCGAAGACCGGGCTCAGTGGTGAGGATTGGGAGAGGCCTATGTCCAGCAGAGGACGACTGTGGGCTCATGATGAAAGGAAAATTTAAAAAATTTTAATCATATCGATACATAACATGGCCTTATAAGCCTTATAATTACATTTGTTTTAACTTAAACATTTCCGATTAAAAATAAAAAAAAACTTGAAGAGAGCACAAAACTAGATTTGTATACTAAAATGCATGTACTACAAAATTAAATATAAACAATCCTGATACTTGCATCTACGGGAGGGGCGAACGCAAGGACCGCCCAAACATTTCATGACCGCCCGCCTTGCGTTCACGCATCTCAAATGAAAACTGACTTGCCTTGCAACAGGGTCTCAAGCCTCGCATTTAATTCGTTTTAAGAAATTAATTAAATATAAGCAGTTATGTGTCTGAAGTGATTTACTTGTGCAATATTAAAAAAAAAACAAAAAAATGCCGCGAAAAAGAACGAATAAGTCACCGTCGGTTGATAAACGTTCCGAAGCGGATATTGATGATGACGATTTTTATTTTGATGACACGCAATCCAACTCAGGTCAGTAATTGATAGTAAATATAATAAAACAATTAACGACAATTATTGCAATAAAAAAAAATTAAATTAATTAAATGTTGTATAGGTTGAATGTTAAATCGTGTGTAGAGTAAACAACATTATTTCATAGTTTTTTTTCTAAATCAAATGACGATTTAAATCACATCCAATGTTCCAAATTCGAGTTCAATTAGGTACCATTGAATTCAATAAAGTTTTCGTTATCTTAATTATTCCGAATAAGTGTGAATGATCTTAGTATTGTCTACCACACACTCAGCATAATCTCTGAGATTGCTTTATCTATTGAAAAATAATAAAATTTCCAAAAGATAAACAAATCATGTCTGAGAAAAACTATAAAATTAGGATTCAAAACAAAGCGATATCCTTGACTTGTACGATTAAAATTTCTACAGCGATATTTTGATTTATTTATCGGCTTTTGCTTATTATCTATATGAATATTAAATTAAGGGCATAAAAGCATTAAAGGTTTAGCGTAGAAAATCTACTAAACCAGCGGAGTCATAATTTTGTTAAGCTTATTTTATATCTAGGCCTACATAGATTGTTTGCTCTGTTTATAGTTATTTCTTTATCACTGTTTAAAGGTAAGCTTTTAAATTATTTAACTGAATATGGTTATTGTTTACACGTGTTATATCTTGTGCCGTGACATAATTAAAAATATATTTTTATAATAATATGTTATAATAAGTATCGAGAGTGCCTTTAAAAAAAAATAAAAAAATGTTTTGAGTTAAACTTTATTACTAACATTATGATTACAGTATAAGCCATGAGAGCCTCTAATTTTAATGTTATGTATGGATTAAAAGAAAGGAATTTTTTTTGTCGTATATTTCGATTCAAGCTAAAAGTATTTATATGATTGGATCCTTATCACGTCTATTAGTCAAGATGAAAAGACAAACTTATGTTAAGTGGCTACTGGTCCTCAAAGAGACTAACCAGAACGAGGACGCCATTGTCCATCATGAGCCATGTCAATCACATTGGAATAACAGAAGGAGAATTCGGAAAAACTATAAAAATAGCAAGAACAAAATCTTCCACAAAGCGAATGTTTTTGCTTGGTGACCGATATTTTTTTATTTTTTATTGCGTAAATTGGTGGACGATCTCACAGCACACTTAGTGCTAAGTGGTCACTGGAGCCCATAAGACATCTACGACCCACCCACCTTGAGATATAAGTTCTAAGGTCTCAAGTGTAGCTACAATGGCTGTCCCACCCTTCAAACCGAAACGCATTACTGCTTCACGGTAGAAATAGGCAGGGTGGTGGTACCTACCCGCGCGGACTGACAAGAAGTCCTACCACCAGTAAGATGATCTTTCCTTTCTTTTCTTCTCCTAAACTAAACTTTCCACCATAGATTACATTTACGGTAGGCGACGGCTTGGCTCTGCCCCTGGCATTGCTGAAATCCATGGGCGACGGTAACCACTCACCATCAGGTGGGCTGTGTGCGCGTCTGCCTACAAGGGCAATAAAAAAAATCTTCAAAAGATTCAGCGAAGCTCTTGCTACGGCCAGTATTAACAAATCCTCTCGCGTTGAGCTCCCTGAGCTCACCTACCAGTCCTCGTGTAGTTGGAATAGCCCCTCAAGCTACTAAGATCAATATAATGAAAAAAATCGTCTACAAACAAGATCAAGTTGTTTATACCACAGGTCGCAATTCGCACGAGCCGCACAGAAACGCAGCCAATGCACGAGAACGGGCCAGAATGCGGGTTTTGTCAAAAGCATTCTGCAGGTAATTATCATAACTAGTGGTCCCACGGTAGTCGAAATTCGACTGTAATTATAAGATTGTACACTATTATGATTCTATTGTCAAAGAATTATTATACTTCTATAATCACAGATTTCGCCAAGACTACACTTTAGGTAAATATTAATAAAGACAAACAATATTTAATCTATTCTCAATTTGACCAGAGACGTCAAGAACAAAAGTTTGACAATAAATAAACAGTATGCATGCGTGTGTGCGTCAAATACATGGTAGTGTGTGTAATGTTTTTTTATTGATTTAATGTATTTTTTAGGCATAATTTAAAAAAAAAATTAACATTCTGCACTCCTTCTCTATATTCTCTATAATTGTGGGAAGTTTCATACTCCTCCTTCCGCGCAATTCTCGTAAAAAGGGATACAAAGTTTTTCCTTCACGTATTAATATATAGATAACGGACATAATATTATTTATTATTTTTATTTAAATCATTATACTGTTATAATATATTTTTTTATTGTATATATTCATTTTTAATTAAATAACTAACAACAAACTTTCTATTGACAGCCTCAACTGCATGTTCTCAAAACATAATAAATAAATAAATAACTGGAAACAAATCACACACGGTCATCCGGCCTCAAATTAGGATTCCCTGTGCTGTGGGTACCAGAGACTGATATACATGCTTATAGACGTTTATATATATACATACATATATAGATAACAAACACCCAAAGAGCAAACAAACTCATCGTAACGCTTCTAGAATGGAGAAAGAATCTTAGCTACATAGTGTAGAGGCACCCGAATAGTGCACAGAGGACATGACAATAATATCAGTCATACCTAATTATTTCACTGGTGGTAGGACCTCTTGGGAGTCCGCACGAGTAGGTACCACCACCCCGCCTATTTCCACCGTGAAGCAGTAATGCGTTTCGGTTCGAGGGGTGGGGTAGCCGTTGTAACTGTACTGAGACCTTAGAACTTATATCTCGAGGTGGGTGGCGCATTTACGTTGTAGATGTCTATGGGCTCCAGTAGCCACTTAACACCAGGGTGGGCTGTGAGCTCGTCCGTCTATCTACGCAATAAAAAATAAAAAATCAAAATCCCCTAAATCTTATGATCTTTGTTCTCCACGAATTCTTCCCGTAGTAGAAAATTTGGAGAGAATGAGTCACTCATGCTTTTTAGAGTTTGACAATTTAAATCCATATAAAGTGTGATAAACTAATAATATCCATAATAACAACATGGCTTTCCGTTAGACTGAAGACTACTCTACCCTGGGTCCCAGCTGACACTAAGCTGTCCAAGTTAGATACACTACGCTTGGCTGCATCCTACATTGCGCATCTACGAGCACTACTACACGAGCCACGATCAGCACATACCCCACCACATCCACTTAGTTTGGTAAGTTGCATCCTTTTGTATCTTAGATTATAATAATAATAATAATAATGTTTTTATTGCAAGTTACCATGACTCATATAAATTGTTAACAAGACTTAGACCTATGTTAATAGTTATATTTACATCACAATGAATTACTGTCGTAACATCCCATGGAAGATGGTACCATAGCGACCCATGTATACACAGTCCAGCCTGCTTGCGATCATGCTCAGGATACCGTTGGAGCTGGCCCTCACTCTGCTTACCCGAGATGCACACCTCTTACGCATGGTAGCGTAAAAACAATCTATGTGCGCGTCTGCAAACATCCCTGATGCGCTACAAAAGCGGGGCAGCACCACCAGCACCCTAAACGCGTTATTATATTGAACACGGAGAGTAGATTAGAAAGTATTTGAAAAAATATCATAGAATTAATACTGACTCTACTACTACGAATAGTGAATAATTTGTTTGTTCTTTGTCTGGATGTACGATATTTATACTCTATATTTATATACGTATACTAACGACCCGCCCTCGCTCCGCTTCGGTAATTGTAATTTATTATTGATTTCTACACTATTCAATGGATGTTATTATACATATAAACCTTCCTCTTCAATCACTCTATCTATTAAAAAAACCCGCACCAAATTCCGTTGCGTAGTTTTAAAGATTTAAGCATACATAGGGATATAGGGACAGAGAAAGCGACTTTGTTTTATACTATGTAGTGATATTTAGTCGTGTTTAAATATGTATGTATATATGTATATGAGTCTTTGGTTTCCACAGTACAGAAAACTCTACTTTACGACCAGATTATCGTGTGTGATTTGGTCCCGATGATTTCGTTAATTACTGGTGGTAGGACGACTTGTGAGTCCGCACGGGTAGGTACGAACCGCCTGTCTATTTCTGCCGCGAAGCAGTAATGCGTTTCGTTGGAGGTGGAGCAGCTGTTATACTTTAAAAACTGAGACATTTGAACTCATTTTTCAATGTGTGTGGCAGCATTCACGTTGTAGATGTCTATGGGCACCGGTAACCACTTAATACGAAGTGGGCCGTGAGCTCGTCCACCCACTTAAGCAATAAAAGATGGTATACAAAAAAACAAAAAATCAAAGTTGACCATGTATTTGTCCTCTTCAACATTATTGGTCCAATTCCAATTGTTTTTTTTATTGCTCTTGTGGGTAGACGAGCATACGGCCCACCTGATGGTGATTGGTTACCGTCGCCCATGGAATTCAGCAATGCCAGGGGCAGAGCCAAGCCGCTGCCTACAAATTGTTCATCATCACAGAAATTTACTTAGGCTTTGACTCTAGAACAAAATTATGAATATTTAGTTAGATGGTGCGTTCAATAGTTAATCCAATAATCATTCATTCACGAGGCCTTCGTGGAACGTGTCTTTTAATCCTCTGACGACAGCCGCCCGTTACCCTGGCGTTTGCCAAATGCTCTTGATTTATAGCTTTTTCGGGTTCCCGACGAATTAGGGGATGACAACTGAGACACGGGATATATTGTCAACAATTATGCGGTCGCTTCTGACTTGAAATATTGGTTGGTGTTATATTTTAATAGTTACCTACATAAAAATATAACAATGGTGATTGATTGATCGAGGAAATGTTTTAACATGATTTTGTAAAATAAAAATTTACTCTTAACAATTTTTTTGTTAGAAATTAGAGAGTACACAAAGTATCATATAAATTTTGTTATATTATCATGTTATTACATTTACATTATATTTATTATATGAAATTCATGACTTTGGGCATTGATAACAACAATGAATATTTCAAAAATATAAATATCATATTTTTTTATCAATGCTTATTATGAAAAACAAAAAAGAAGAACAATACAAATAAAAAAAAATTAAACAACTAATAAATAGTTTCTAAAATTAAACAAAAAATCACCGATTCATCATGTGTGTTCTCTGACGATGAAAAACAAACAAAACTATTTTGTCATAAAAAATAAGAATCACTTTTCCGGCCCTTCCTACAGACCATAAACAAAGCCAAATATCTCGTCCAACCCGAAGGAACATAGGAACAAAAAGATTAAAACAACAAACATATGAGTTTTACGTTCTCCCGCGTGCGCTGACCAAAAGTTTGCAGCTGTTGTACGTATAAATAAAATTTATCTCATACGTTGAAGAGACGATCCACTTTTATTGTTTCTCCGGATCTTTTGTGCTGTCCACGTACATAGATATCGGATTCCTGATAATTTTCGCAAAAAAAATTAAGAGCTTTTTAAAAAACTGCAAAATGTCAGTTGCGAAGTGAAGACGTCATTTCCAAACACGTGTGATGTTAAAAGCAACACTGTTTACTTGGCCATAAAAAGTGCGGTCAAAACATAAGATAAGTTACAAAACATCGTTAGCTGGGAGGTCTTCTTTCATAATCAATATTTTAAATAGTAATTCAGAATTTCAAATATCATATTCTAGGTTTGTGTTAAAAAAAAAAACTAAGCAATTATTTTACTGGTTGTTTTTACAGTTGCAATAACAGAATGACATCAGACGAGCTGACGTCTCATTTAATAAGTAGTGGTTATTGCTGCGATAAATATGGCCAATATTTGGCTTCGCGTTTGAACAAAGATTTGTGTTAGCTAATCGAAATCGTGACGTATTGGCGGTTACTTTCACTGGTGGTTGGGCGTCTTGTGAGCCCGCACGGGTAGGCACCACCGCCCCGCCTATTTCTGCCGTGAAGCAGTAATGAGTTTCGACAGCCATTGTACTGCAAAAACTGACACTTAGAACTTATGTCTCAATCAGGTCGGCCGTGAGCATGAAAATAATATATATTTATTTGAGAATTCAAAAGTTAATATATTAAGAAAAACACTAAAAATAAAATGTTCTGCACCATTTTTTTGCGGCTAGTTGAATCGTTCATTTACATTACTTTTATCAATTTTAGGCTTGGCCTTTCGCGTTCCAACATGGCGGCAGTCTAAACTGTGCAGTATCACAAAGATGGAACGTTGGCGCTCAAGAACCGGGTTGTAGATCTAACATAACACCAAGAGAAGCTATGCAAAGCCAAGACAACTACAACGAATACGACAACGATTACGAAGAGAGATGCTACGAAGACGTGTCCTCGAACGACGCATGCGCACAAATGCAATACTGTGATTACGGTTATAAAGAAGATTATTATGAAATTAGAAACAGTTATCCGACAGATAATGCAATAAATAATATCTAAAATTATTAAACCAAGTTTTTGTGGTCAAATTTATTATTGCATGCTTTTCGATAAATTATTTTTAATTGATCACTTTTAACTGGCTATCTGCTAATTCCGTCCACGATTGCGTAACTTATCACATGCATTGCTCCTTTACTTTTCGCTTAAAAATTTGACTTTATGTTAAAGCAGCCAAAGCATGAGTTAGTTTAGTAGAATTGTTATTGGTTGCCTTCTTTATATTCTTCCCATTCTCTTTATTTGACAGCATACCTAATAAAATAAAGTTTGCCGAAGTATTTATTAATATCACAAAGTAGAATAAATCGGACATGTACGAGTACCTACTTATGTAATGTTGGCAAATAATTATGTGTTTAAAATAATTAAAGTATGCCGTACATATAAACAATTAAATTAAATTAAATGTTTCCTGGTTAATAGTGGATTGAATACTATTAATATTGATAGAAATACTCGTAAGTCAAATAGAGTAGTTTTTCTTTGAAATAAGCCCTTAAATCTCGTTTTACTGCTATTCGCTTTTCACAAAACTACAACCGCATTTTATTTATTTTTGTTTATGTATGTTATTTTAGTTGGATTAAATTCGAAAACGGCTGTAAGAATTATAAAAGATTTCATTGAGACATAAAGAACTTTATCCTAAAATGTTCTTAGAAAATATTAATTTTCTGCAACCAAATATTTTATTAATAAAGAAAATTTGTTTTTTCTGATATATTTTTTTCTAAATTTGTAACTGACCAACACACGAGGCACTTCTGACTTTTAAATGAAATAAAACAGCTCGGATATTCTTAACGAGAATGAAATGTAACGTGTTTCTTAATTTTGCTGTAATTCGATATAGAACAAAGTGGATGTCAAAGAGACTCCGCTAAACCTGACAAAACAAACAAGAATAGATGACAGAACTGAAGTGCTGCGGAAACGAATATTTTAGAAAAGATCATTCGAATTGATGAGCCGTGTTTTAAGCTCACAAGAGTAGACTCTACCGTCCTGCCTATTTTGGCCGCGAATCACTCATCCGCCACGATTTGAATGACAACATAATTGAATCATATCTCAATTTCAGTGGTAGAATTCATGTTGTGCTGTGCTTGTTTACACACTCAAGTAATAAAAAGTAGTGAAAAATAATAATTTGCACATTATAATTAGAATATTTTGTCGTTAAACAAATAATACGTTAACTTCGGGCCTCAAGACAAGCAGTAGCATTCCTGTTGGAGCCTCGGTGTTCATATCTGTAGCGGACGATTTCTTGTTTATATTTTGGGTTTTGAGGAAGATTTTACAATAAAAAAATATAAGGATGCACATCTCGTAGCTGACAGCTTTTTTTTTGTTAATTTAAAATAGATAAAACAAAATACAAAAATAAACAATGGTTGCTTTGCTATTAAATCTTTTTACGGGCGTTCCGAACAATATCCGTTATATGGGTTTATAAAGAAGAAATCACAAATAAAAATGTTAATTAAAAATTTAATAAAAATACAGCAGATGTATGTACGTAAATAATTTACAACTACCATAATCATACATAAAATAAATAGCATAATAAAATATAGAATATAATCACAGTAAATGTTTGTTAGCCGTTTTTATGCATCTTCTTTATGATCTCATTGCCTATAGATATATCTTATCTCTATTCTGCTACGACAATAGCATTAAAATTATTATCAAGAAATATTTACCTAGCTTTTTTTTTCCTACCTAGCTGAGAGCCTTAAGAGGCTATTTCAGAGTAACCTTAACTAGTAGGTGAGCTCTCGGGGCTCAAACCTGACAACGTTGCTAACACGAACCCTAGCAAGAGCCGTGCTTCGCAGAATCTACCACCAGATCGGAAACGCGACCCACTGAGAAGATCCGGCGAGAAACTCAGCGGGCTGTGTCTGAGGGTTAATTTACTCGTCGAGCCCTTCGTCGCAAGCGACCTGCTGCGCCCGCGGCCTTACCCGCAACAAAATGCAATTTTATATTATATAAAAACATAAAAGGCATAAGATGATTCAGAAAACTAACTACGTAAAATGTGTTTTGATGAACATATAACTTACATAATTTGCTACTTGCCAGACCTACCGGCAACCGTGTTTTTTTAGATATTTGGAAAATAATTGTGTTAAATGGAGGAATAAGCTAACGGCCAGGGCCAGATTTAGGGGAGGGCAACCGGGGCGAAAGCCCCGGGACCTCCACAAACGGAGGGCCCCCGGAATAGACTTTGGAAAAAAAATATGTTTCATATTCCGACAAGTAAACATCTTTTCCTTCTCTTTCGATATTCTTTTTTCGCTGTTTTACTCAACGTTAACGTTAACGTTAACAATTATTGTCTGCGATTATATTTATGTATATTTGTTAAATACTAAGAGAATCTACGTGGCTTCACAATAAATTATTTACCTATTTGAAAATTCGACTGAAAAAATTAAATAAATTGTTCATTTTATTTGGAAAATAATTTGAGGCCAGGGAGTTGGTAGCCAGACCCATTTCTAGGCCCGTTTATATTTATTAAGCTGTTGACTCGTAGAGGAGCGTCGAAGTAAGCAAAACCGCAGCCGTACCTTGTCTGGGGACCAATCTGTGCATATCAGCTTTTCGCTGGAAAGACCTAAATTGATTGATAATACTGCTACTGTTGGTAGGACCTCTTGTGAGTCCGCGCGGGTGGGTACCACCACCCTGCCTATTTCTGCCGTGAAGCAGTGAATCGTTTCGGTTTGAAGGGTGGGGCAGCCGTTGTAACTATACGCATTTACGTTGTGGATGTCTATGGGCTCCAGTAACCACTTAACACCAGGTGGGCTGTGAGCTCGTTCACCCACCTAAGCAATAATAAAAATATAAAAAAAACTTGAAAAGTTATAAGATAGAGCACACACTGTTTAGCATTTTCTTTTTTTATTGCCCAAGTAGGCAGACGAGCATACGACCCACCAGATGGTGAGTGGTTACCCGTCGCCCATGGACTTCAGCAATTCTAGGCGCATAGCCAAGCCGCTGCCTACCAAATCATCAATTGTAAATTTCGAGATGTCGAAACCAGTGCGACTTCACGATGTGAGCTGCAGGAAATTTCTACCAAACAAAACGAGCAGTCCAGTTGGTGAAAAGTTTATTCATATGTTAAATTCAATTGTTTATTATGCAAGAACACACTATAAAATAAAGCGTAACACTAATTATATAAGTATACAACAAATCAATAGTAAACTTAAGCGAGGCATGTTTTGGTAAAATTTGTTATTGATAATTATTATACTAAATACCCTTAAATCTAATCTGAAATAACTTAAGATTTTTTAAATCTTTATCGATTACTTCGATATTCACACAGCATACGAAATCGGTTAATCTACAAACTATCATATTACTTAGGTTACTAAATTTACAAAATATTAAAAAAAATTAATTGTACACTATCTAGGAAACATCAAAATTGCTTGTGGCTTATTACTTTCGATTAATTCTTATATTTAATTAACGCTAATTTGATAATGTTCACTCATTTTTTCCTTAAATAATAATTATGATATAATAATATGATACAAGACAATTTCCGTTTTGTCGATTTTTCTAATGATGGCTGTTCAAAACGAAACATTATTTTGTCATTATCATCATTATTCGATCATTACAGTAAAATAAAAGATCACATTAAAACTCAACTTAAAATTTAGTTGTAGAGCAGTAGTATTCTATAGTTATTTAAAAAAATAGCTTAAGTTTAATTGCACTTAAAATAAATCAAACCAACCAATGTCATTTTGTATACAGCAGCAACAATTTGAAAAACAATTTAATGAATCATATCATACATTCATTACGTTTTGTTAGAATGCGTTGTTCTGAACAGCCAAATCCAATACTATGCCAATTTTTACAACGAATAACACACACTACACTCCTCGATGAATCATATTCATAAATTTAAACATTAAGCATATTGCTTTAAACCTGTAGTTATAAAATCCGATACATATTAGTATACATTTGAGTTTCATATTTTTCCATCGAAGCTACAAAATGTAAACCCATCATTCGTAGCTTTATTCCAAAATTATTTGTTTTCAAAGTGTTGGCTAATTTTCTATCTCTGTCTATTAATTCAAATAACGTTGTGATGTATATAACAATCTTAACGTCATTTCTTAATAGTTTTGGCGCAAGTTACATATTTTTAAGTAATCTTAAGCAGTAATTTTAAATTCATTGAGAGACAAATTTCTTATTAGTAATAATAGGCCTTATTAATTCAGTGTGCTTAGTGCGAATTTTTTAACGTCCTCGATAGCGTAAAAGTTAAGTCAAATTTGTATGGAGTTGGAACTTTTGCCTACGTTTGCCTAGCTAGGGACGCTGTTCCAACTGCATACAAATTCGAGTTAACTTTTACGATATCGAGAACATTAAAAAACTCGCACTAAGCACACAGAACAAATACCAACATTGGCCAAACAAATATCAACGCAATAGTCGGCCAATTGATATGAGTTCACATGTTGGTCTTGTTCGAATGAAACAAATCCCAATGTGATATATTATCATTATATCCTAATTCCTATATGCGATCCCAATTCGTAATGTAGATCCGAGCAGTGGCGTACCTAGAACTTTTGCCGCCCGGGGCGATCTCCAGTCTGCCGCTCTTTCTATTATAAGTCAATCAAATAGTGGTTTTTATAAATTAATACACATAAATAAATTATTAAGTTATTTAATCAATATTAATTAATACACAGAGTAAATTTTTTATTATTTGTATGCACTCGTAAACATATTTATATAATATCTA